GCCTTATTGCTTAATTAAAAACAAATTCCCAGGCAATTCCCCCCCCCTCCCTCCCTGCGTTTCTATACAACACTGGCAGTGTGGAGCTCGCCTAAGCCCATCCATTAACGGATGGTAAGTGCAAATTTACTAGGAGAGCTGCAAACCCATTTCTTTACCACTTGGGGTTAAATGGAAAACTGTTTCCTATAATCTGCCCGCTGCTGTGCACCAAGAGGAATAAATATGGGAAAGAGAGATTCATTGTTTAGTGATTGGGCTTGGCTCGCTTGCAGAGAGTCTATGCAATACGGTCGCATCTTGTGCCGGGGTTACGTTCCAGGGCTGTCGCATTTACACAAAACCGTGTTTACTCGAACCTCCCTGTCGGAACTGCTCCTGCATGAGCAATCTTGCCTTCTGGAGTCAGCACACCAAAGGGTCTTGCCCCACAAGGAAGGCAGAGCGTTTTTCAACTCTCCAGGCTCTGGGAGGCCACCTGAGATCTTGTGAGCCTGGTAAGCAAAGCAGAAAGCTTGAAATCTCTTTCTGCACCAGGAAAACCTGGTGCTTTAAAGCTCTTTGCCTTGCATACAATTAATTTGTGGGATTTCAACTGGCTGCCCTTGAACTGTATGCAAGTTAATGTCAGGGAGTTAGCCAGCAATAAATCACATGGAGTACATGAAGTTAATTCTTTATTAGATGAAACAAGGCCTGCTCAGGGGAGCCGGGCCTAATAAGCACAGCAGCTCTTCTCACTAGGTCTTGCCCCAACAAGGCAGTTGTGGAGGCTGCCCCCACCTTCCTAAATCTCCCCCTCCTCTGGGTCCTCTCAAAGAAACCTCAGACTCTGCTGACACCTTTCTCTGCTCTTCCCTCTTCATACCTCTTCTGGTCCTGGGAGACCAGGAGGAGGGGGACTTGTTGCAGCAGGAGTGGGAGGACAGCCTAGCCTCTTCAGCAGCTTGACTCATCTCTGCCTCTTGGCCTCCCTCCTCTCCTGCTTCTGCACTTCTCTCTGCCACAGGCTCCCCCTGCTCACTAAACCCTGGACTCAACTACATTGGCAAAGAAAAAGCATTTTATATGCGTTGTATGTGCAGTGAGAGATTTTACTTTCTTGGGCTCCATGATCACTGCAGATGGTGACAGCAGTCACGAAATTGAAAGATGCCTGCTTCTTGGGAGAAAAGCAATGACAAACCTAGGCAGCATCTTAAAAAGCAGAGACATCACCTTGCCAACAAAGGTCCATATAGTAAAAGCTATGGTTTTCCCAGTAGTGATGTATGGAAGTGAGACCTGGACCATAAAGAAGGCTGATCGCTGAAGATTTGATGCGTTTGAATTATGGTGCTGGAGGAGACTATTGAGAGTCCCATGGACTGCAAGAAGATCAAACCTCTCCATTCTGAAGGAAATCAGCCCTGAGTGCTCACTGGAAGGACAGATTGTGAAGCTGAGGCTCCAATACTTTAGCCACCTCATGAGAAGAGAAGACTCCCTGGAAAAGACCCTGATGTTGGGAAAGACTGAGGGCACAAGGAGAAGGGGACGACAGAGGACAAGATGGTTGGATAGTGTTCTCGAAGCTACCAGCATGAGTCTGACCAAACTGCGGGAGGCAGTGGAAGACAGGAGTGCCTGGCGTGCTCTGGTCCATGGGGCCACGAAGAGTCAGACACATGTGCATTATAACACTGAAACAAGATGGCGCTGTGAAAGTCCGTTTTTGCCAACCTGATTGCCCGTACAAAGTTTACAGCACTTCTTTGATGTGTCTACATCCAGTCCCTGTTACCTCTTCAGCTTCCGACACCTCTTCCTCCCAAGTTTCTCCCTTTTCTCTTTCTGACCTCTAATTGTCCCCTGCCTGGGACCTTGGAGAGCCATTACTGATCAGAGCAGACAAGATTGGGGTTGATGAACCAGTAGCTGACTTGGTAGAAGACAGCTTCCTATGCCCCATCATCTTTCATGGCAGCCTCTCCTTCGCAGGCCTAAAACTGCTGTATTTTTTATTCCGTCTAGCTCTTTTATGTACCTCTGTGAGGAATCTGTCTATCATGGTGCACACATTTACAACTTTTTAAATTAACTGATTATTATCATGCACTTGTCCTCTGCAATACTTTTTCACTTCTAATATTTGAAGTAGCTAATCTACCTAAGTTTTAGTGTTTGAAATACCTAATCATTCATCACGATTTCCCGTGTTATAATAAAAGAACACACAGTGAATACAAGATTGCTGTTTAAATAAAAAGGGAGCTAGGGAAGAATGAGAATTGAAAAGAGGAGCATGCACAGATTTTTCTTCTCCAGTAAAGTCAGAAAACACAGAAGAACTTCAGCTTCCAGGCATGGGAAAATAAACGGATCAAAAAGAACATTGTCAGAAGCGAAACAATGTTGAATATTGCTTCCAAACTTGCAAATTACCGAGATAATGTCAAGTGTTCAAATTCAAAAGATGAATCGTAAAAAAAAAAATCAGCACTAACATAAAAAGGTAATATGATACCGCTGTCTTTGATTGGCAGGGAAGAAGGCCAGCTGTCATGTGACAAAGGACTTTTTAGACTCTGCCTACCAAAGAGTTATGTATTACTCTATACTTTAAAGCCCTTTCCTTGTCATATGATAGTACTTTAAAATGCTGCATTTCATTCTGAGAAGGTATAGAAAAATGAAATTTAGCATTATAACACTCTAACAGTCATGGCTTCCATCAAATATTCCTGGAGATTGCAGTTTAGCAAGACTGCTGAGAATCATCATTCTCTTATATTATTTCTATTGTAGACACCCATGTTTATATTAATACAAAAGTAGTATACGAATGTTTTACATTAGGGATGGGGAACATGTGGCAGTACTGAAATTATTTGACTCCAGTTTCCTATAGCTCCAGACAGTTAGCAGGGCCAACAAAGAAGGAGATTTGAGAATAACCCACACCAGACAAACCCACACCAGATTGCCCATTACACAAATTCAGAGGCCACAAAACCAGAAGACTGTGCCAAGAATTATAGACACACGCCAGCAGTCAGTATAACTGCTTCAAAACACAAGGAGAGCTACCATGTTATTAGTTCCAAAGAACACGAAAGCTTAGAAAAAGAAACAGTTCAATTTAAAAGGCAGCCCCCATCAGTTGCCATGAAGCATTTAACACAGGAACTATTGTGGTCCAAAAGAGCGGGTGGAGAAAAACATCCTTTAATAAAAAGACTTGCCATGAGTCTTTTCTCCCAAAGGGCAAATCTGGTTCTTCCCGCCTTTCTAATAAATTTAATAGGCTTATTTGCCAGCAAATCAAACAGTGCTGCAGTAGCTGGTCTTGCAACTTCTTCCCCATGCTTGGGAATATTGTTTTTAATAATAATAATAATAATAATAATAATAATACGCCACTTTATTGAATTTATTGAGTTTATTAAATTGAAAGTTTGCCCACTGCCTACCTTTTAAAGATGATTGATTGATTGAAAGAAAGATAGATGATAGATTAGATGATAGATAGATAGATGATAGATAGATAGATAGATAGATACCCAGATGACTGCTGGGTGGGGGAGTAGGTTTGTGCCTTCATAAGGACCAGCCAGTCATAGGAATACAGAAAGTTGCCTCATGCCGAGTCAGACTCTGGGGTCAATCTAGCTCAGTATTGTCTGCACGGGCTGGCAGAAGCTCTCTAGCTTTCAGGTAGGGGACACCCCAGCCCTACCTGGAGATGCTGACGATTGTACCTGGGACTTTCTGAATGCAAAGGAAATGCTCTATTGCTGAGCCACGGCCCTTCCCCACTAGCTTCTGTGCACAGTTTGCCTCTGCCACACAAAAAATGCAGAATTGGTCTCCTCTTGTTCCTGGAGAGAAGCTGGTTTGTTACCACAAAATACTTCCTCTCACAGCAATCTGATCACTCAAAAGGTGTGTGTTTTACTACATCTACAGCCCTCCAAATGCTATAATGCTCATCTCTGACTATTGCTGGCTAGGGGTGGATGGGCTCTGCTCCAAATACACAGCTGTTGAGTGGGAAGTTGGTTTTGGCCAAAGTCTTCCCAGGCTCTGCACTGGCTCTAAGACACCATCTGCTCCCAGGTGGCTTTCCCACTCCCTTCCTATCTATTTCCTCCCTTCCTAGATTCCTTCCCAGGGAGGATATGTCAGCATCTGTTACTCTCCAGATAGGGTCTGACAAAGGTACTATTATTTCCCTCGATCTGGACATCAACAGAAGTATAGTGTCCAGATCAAAGGAAGTGATAGTATCATTCTATTCTGCCTTTGTCAGACCACACCTGGAGTCCTGTGCACAGTTCTGGGCACCGCAATTTAAGAAGGGCATTGGCAAGCTGGAATGTGTGCAATCGAGGGTTAACAAGATGTTCAAGGGTCTGGAAACCAAGCCTTATGAGGAAAGGTTGAGGGAGCTGAATATGTTTAGCCTGAAGAAGAGATGACTGAGGCGAGATATGATAGCCATCTTCAAACATCTAAAGGGCTGTCACGTGGAAGATGAAGCAAGTTGTTTTCTTCTGCTCCGGAGGGTAGGACCCAAACCAATGGCTTCAAGTTACAAGAAAGGAGGTTTCAACCATTAGAAAGCATTTACTGAAGGTAAGAGCTGTTTGACAGTGGAATGGATTCCCTTGGAAGGTGCTGGAGTCTTTTCACTGCAAGTTTTTAAACAGAGCTTAAATCTGTCATGGATGCTTTAGTTGTGACTCCTGCATGGCAGAGGGTTGGACTAGATGACCCTTGAGGTTCCTCCCAACTCTAAAATTCTATGATTCTTCGATTTTCCGTTACTAGCAGAATGCAAAGTTTCCATGCACCGCCCCGCCGCTTTAAGTCACCCTTGCTCTTTTTTCTTCCTTCCCCTCTTTTCTTCTTGTTTTTTCCCCCCGCTCTCTCTTTTTCACCCGCCCAGCCAAACTCACCAGGCTCCGACTGCGCCCTCTGATTGGCCGCCGTTGTTTTCGGGGGCGTGGCTACGCGTGGAATGCTGAGACTGAGCGTCCCAGAACCGGACGGTCCTGCTTCGGAGGCGGCCTGTTGATTGGCTCGTGACACTTACGGAAAGCGGGGAGAATGGAATGTTGGGGACTCTGAGCGTTCCAGAGATACTTTGCTGTTGTTGTTTCATTCATTTTTTACGCAGCCGCGGATGCAAAAAGGGAAAGAAAGAAAAAAGTAGGGTGAGATTTTGCAGGCGAAAGTCGCCTACTCAGAAGTAGGTTCCATTAAATTCAATGGGACTTGCTTCCAGGGAAGGGTAGCGTTGCAGCCTCAACCTAGAGCCTTCTGCGGAGGCCCTTCTGGATTAAAAATCTTTGGAATTGCACTTTCTGCTGCGAGAGGATCCCTTGAAGGCGGATTCCCAGGCGTCTCTTGGCGGAATCGACGGACCCGGGGACCCGGTTGGGACAGGAACCAGGAAAAGTCACGAGGAGGTACATTCATCTCTCTTGGCTAGACCGCGCTCTCCGCCTTGCACGACCGTAGGCGGGAGAGAAGCGCTGCATGGGGGTGGGGTCTGTGCGAAGGGTCTGTGTACTGTAGCGTCTTTCTACGGGGCTTTGAATTCACCGATCCTTTAAAGTTCCACATACTTTGCAAAACTGTTGCGGTGCCGGCGCCGGACCTGAGAGCGAAGAGCCAGTGCGCTGTTGTAATCTGAAAGGGGCTCTTTTAAAATGCGATTTCCGCCCGTGGGAGCGGCTTTCAAACTTCCATCACGCCAACTCTCTGTGTCCGCTGGCAATCGAAATATACATAAAGTGACGCTTTTCTTCTTTCAAGAATGTACTTGAAACGGACCTAAATGATCTCTTCGGCATGCCTCATGGGAAGCGATTTATAAATGAAATTAATATTATTATCATCCATAATGATGATGATGTTGCTTACTTTGTTTTTAAAATTTATTTATTTATTTATTTATTTATTTATTTATTTAAGTGTGATGGCAGGGACAGCTGCCAGATTATAGGAAGGGGATGAGATTCTGTAAGGTGGAGTGGTGTGTGTGTGTGTGTGTGTGTGTGTGTGTGTGGAGAACCTGTGACTTTCCAGATGTTGATGAACTCCACCTCCCCTGAGCTCCATCCAGCCTGGCCAAAGGTCATGGTTGATGGGAGTGGTAGTGCCAGCAGCAGCAGCAGCATATGGAAGCTTCCACAGGCCAGCTCTTAGGTTTGGGTGTGTATTTAGTGGCGATGGCAGGAATCCTTCAAAGCATGTAGCTGGTGCGTTAAGAAATAGTGAAACCAAGAAGTGCTCCTGTCAGTGTCGAAACAGCCAGGTGACTGTCAAATGTGAGTCAACAGCAGGAGGCTCTGAAAAGGAGGTGAGGCGAGTGAAACAGCTGAGGATCTTGACGCAACTCTACATTATTTGCTCTCACTGTAGCATGACGGTAAAGCCCTCTCTGTTGGTGTCATAGAGAGGATTGATAAGGAACTTCTACACAGGGCCTGCTTGACTTTGTTTCTCATTCTGTAGCACTCCTGGGTCTTGACCCGTAGGTGGCATCTCTACCTATAACCATGCATTTCAAGCTGGCTGCTGACACTGTCCCCTCTGCTTTCTATATTTCATCTGTCACCCTTTCCCCCAGTCTACTAAAGCAAGAGGGACTTCACCATCCCCCCACCCCACCCCACAAATGAGATTGGAGGCAGGTAAATGACAGGGACCACAATGGCGTTAAAAGATGATTGGGCAAAGTTGGAAAAGGTTCAGAAAAGGGCAGCCAAAATGATCAAGGGGAAGCAGCGAGTTCCCTATGAAGACAGGTTGCAGCATTTGGGGACTTTTCAGCTGAAGAGCAAAGGCTTGCAAGAGGCAGCATGATAGAATTTTATAAAATTATGCATGGCATGGAGAAACTGGATAGAGTGAGGTTTTTCTTCCCTTTCTCATAACACTGGAACTTTTGGACATCGAATGAAGCTGCATGTTGGATGATTCAGGACCAATGAAATAAAGGACTTGGTCACGCAGCACATAGTTAAATTAAGGAACTCGATCCCACAGGAGACAGTGATGGCCACCAATTTGGGTGGCTTTAAAAGAGAATTGAGACAAACTCATGGAGGAGAGGGCTATCGGTGGCTATGATCTGCCTGCACAACTGGAGGCAGCAATGCTTCTGAATGCCAGTTGCTGGAAGCCACAGGAGGGGAGAGAGCTCATGTGCTCCAATCCTGCTTGCTGGTTTCCCACAGGCATCCGGTTAGCCACTGGGAGAACAGGATGCTGGACTAGATGGGCCATTGGCATGAACCAGAAGGTTCTTCTGGTGTTCCTATGGACCCCTTTTCCTCTCCCCCCCCCCATCTTCTTTTCTCTAGGCTAAACCAACCCTAGCAGAGTTGAGGCTGGGTGGAGAGGAGAGGAGGATGGAGGCAGCATAATAATCAGAGCCTTCTGTTGCTGCTGAAAATGAAGATTTGTTGTGGCAGGTGTTTCTCGTGGACTTGAGAGTCCACTTTATCAGGTGTGTTTTGCTTTCCTTGGCATAGTGGGGGAGGAAGAATGGTACTGAACGCTGGCCAAATTAGCCAGGAAATGTAAAGCTTAGTCTGCAGAGATCAAAGGTGGGTAAAGATAAGCGCAGCCATGCAGCCAGTTGATGCTCTGGTTTCTGTCTCTGCTCATGTGGGAGTGAGTCAGTGCTCACTCTTTTTAAAAATAAACAATTAGCCACCAATCAGGGTTTTCAGAACAACAACAGCATTTGACACAGATGGATCTCACTAGGCAAATGGCTCCAGAGGGCTTGGGCCACAGACAGAGAAGGTTTTGTGCCACAGTCCCAGCCTCTAACATCTGTGCAATCATGAGGCAGGAGGTCTGGAGACAGCCTGCTCCCATTTGCTGTAAGCAGATGGGCACCAGTGGGGTAACTGTTTGGGGGCTTTGCAACCAGCCTGTCAGGCTCACCCTCCCAAGCACGACTCTGTTTCAGTCCTGTGCAACTTCCATGGAGTTTCTTCTGAAACCAGTGGCATCCCAGGCAACAGTTTACTCTCCCCAAAGGTGGCCAACATCAGATGCTATTAGTCATTGTCTCAACTGCTGCACAAGAAATGTTTGTGTCAGGGCTTCGCTTCTTGAGTCACTAGATCTCTATAAACCAATGCCTGGCCGCCCTTTCTTTGGAAGTTTCTACAAGTGAGACCTGCAACAAAATGTTGCAGCACGGAGTATGCTCTGTTCAGCATACCAACCATCTCCATTCCCTGTCTTCCTCTCCATCAGCAGTCAAGGCAGCGTTTCACAGCCATTGAGCATGCCCAGTTGGAATGGTGTATCCTAAAATATAGGAAGCTACCTTATACTGAATCAAACCATTGCACCATCTATCTCAGTACTGTCTGCACTGATAGGCAGCAGTTCCCCAGGGTTTCAGGCAGGGAACTTGCACTGCCTGGATATGCCAGGGATTGAACCTGGGACCTTCTGCATTCAAAGCATATGCTCTGCCACTGAGCTACGGCCCTTCCCTAACATTACTGGGATGAACACTAGGAGACTGTGCACCTTCCCATGTCCTAAGAGTAACAGCTATCAGTGGGAAGAATGCTCCCAATTTTGCTAAAACAACCGAATATTTTGTGTTCAGTTCTTGCGACAAGAAGGTATGTTTTACTCTTCAAGCATTTCAAAAGTTTTTGTTCCATGTGACAGGATAGCGGCCCATGGAAGCAAAGTTGTTTGAATCCCCGCCCCATTGAAATCCATGTAACAAGGCTGTACGCTTACTTTGGCCCCATTGAGCTCAGTAGGGTTACCTTTAAGTCAGCATGCAACGGAAATGTACTATTAAAGTGCTTAACTTTGGCAGCAGGGGGTTCAAGATGTGCTCTGCAGCAGTTAAGACCCATGACTCCAACTAAGCCATACTACCAACTAAGTAGACCCACTGAAATTAGCCATGTCCATTGACTTCAATGGGCCTACTCTGAGTAGGGCTAGCAGTGGATACCATCCCCAGTTTTCCCGTGTGTGTGTGTGTGTGTGTGTGTGTGTGTGTGTTAAATCACAGCTGCAGCCTTGACGAAAGACTGTGCCTATCACCTAACAGCTGCAAATGATTGCTAAAAGCCAGTGCGAAGGAGCTAAACTTGCTCTCTGAACTGGTCAGCTGTCTGCTCTGAAAATTTGCTGAGTCACAATATTGTTTTGCTTCAGAGTTCAGATTCCTCTCATTCCGATCTTGTTCTTTTCTGCATCTGCATTATTTCCCAGCCTTGTTATTGAATTTGTTCCAGGTGTTTTTTCTTCTTCTTTGAAACTGGCAATGGGTTGTTTTGTGGAGGCCAACAACCTCTCCACATTTTGCTGTTATCCATGAACTGATCCTGCCGCCTTTCCTGGGTGAATCACTTCAGTTCTACCTTTCACCCAGTTCTTTCCCCTAGAAATTGCACAATGTAGGACAGTCATGAATTTATTGGGTGCCTCCCAGTGGATTCCTTAACCAGGATCACTTCTGTCGCTGCAGGCTTTGAGATCAAATCACTTCTGAAGAGCTCTGCAATGGTTTCATTTTCATGTTATATTACACCTGTGTCACTCGTGAAACTATTACTTGTGAAACTATTTGGCTGTTGTGGCTTCTAAAGAACCCTGGGAGCTACAGATGTTATTATTATTGTCATCTACATGTATTTGCCCCTCTTTACAAAAATAAAAGCCTCCAAGTGACTTAACAATACAGCAGGATTTTTTTAAAAAAACCAACCAATGCATCATAGAAGACACCAGAAATGTTCATCTGATATAATATTAAAGAAAGCCCTTCCCATACCCACCTAAATATGAACCCTGCTGCAGGGGCCAGTTTGGTTACCAAAGGCCAAAATTCAATGAAAAGTGCCTAGTGCCTAAACACTGATAATGACGGGGTTTTTCTTGTGGAGAGTGTTCCACAGATATAGGGGGCCACCACTGAAAAGATCCCCTCCACGGTGGATTAAGCCAGGAGAATTACAGATAACTAAATCCAGGGGCTTTTAGTGGGTGAAGTCAAAGGGATTAACTTTCCTTCATAATCTCTTCTGGAGTGGGGGGTGGAGATGGTCACTTCCTTACCATAAAATAATTAAGAGGTGGTCAAGTGGGTGCATCACTCCTCATACATTGATACTCCAAGAAGCTCAGGGTGGCATACACAGTTCTTTCCGTTTTATCCTCGCAACAACCCTGCAAGGTAGGGTAGTCTGAGGGGGGAGAGAGAGAGAGACTGGCCCACTGTCACCCAGTGGGGCTTCATGCCCGAGTGGGGTGGGGAGTTTGATGCTTATAAAACCATAGAAGTGTAGAGCTGGAAGGGACCTCAAGGATCGTCTAATAGTCCCACCGCCTGCAATGCAGGAATCGCAATGAAAGCATCCATGGCAGATAGCTGTCCAGCTTCTGCTTAAAAGCCTCCCATGAAGTCTTCAAGTTCTTAGTCCAGAGCTGAGTCTAACCTCTACTCCACACTGGCTCCTTATAGGGGACAAAACACGTGAGAGGAGAGCTGTTGCCTGTGTAAGCTTTCCAGACACTGACTGGCTGGCTGGGGCCAGTGGATTAGGTGACCCCTTGGCCTGACCCAGCAGAGCTGCTCTTTACATTTATGGGGAAAAGGTTGGTTTTGATGGAACAGAGAAAGAGGGAGGTTTGCACCTCATTGCCACCCTGGTGTGGAGTTCCAAGTGGCTTAGAGCTTTCCTGCTAAGAACCCTTTTGCTTTTCATCCTTGGTCTCCACCAAGGGGTACAATTAATGCCGCCCTGTGCAAAGCTCGGGAACGTTTTGCATTACAAGACAGAAGTCCACAGAAGAGTCCTGTGAAACTAATCAGCCCCGCGGATTCTGTGATGAAAGGTTACTAGAGGCCTCCTGCCAAGAGCTCTCATGAAAACAACCTCTCGCTAATAGCTATGAAAGGTTGGCTCCAACGGTCCTTTTTATATATATAATTGGAGTTTGCCGTTCTCTGCTGTGTGTTCCCACTTCAAATGGGCACCGAGATCAGAGGTACTGTAGTTTTTAGTTTTCTTTCCTTTTCATGCTTCTCCCTCCCCTCCTGTTCTGTAGTGTGCAAAAGTCATTATGTTCATAATAGCAGAAGCAAAGCGACTCCGTGGTGGCTTTTAGTTTTGTCTTTTAAATATAAAACGATCACGCTGGCTGATGGTGGGGCAGTCGGTCCTTCACTATTACAGACTGATCCTCAAAGCAACTCAGCAGTGCATTTGTTTCTTTTCTTTAAAAAAAATAAATGCTGAAGAAGCTTCCATGGTCCTTAAGCTGAACAGCTCTTATGCGCACTTATAAATCGCTGCTGTTTCTAATCACCTACAGTGAGCGCAAAATTGCCTCCAGGCAAAAAGGCGTTTTTTGTGTGAAATAAAAGTGGTTCTTAATCATAGAATTGTAGAGTCAGAAGGGACCCTGAGGATCACGTGGCCCAGCCCACTGCAATTCAGGGATCTGCATCTGATGCCCCATGGCATCCCGGATTCCTTCTTGCAGGCTGTTGGGGAAATAAAACATGGCTGTAGTCGTGTGTGGGCTAGTAACTTTTGTAGGCTTAAGAAGAAGAGTTTGGATTTGATATCCCGCTTTATCACTACCCTAAGGAGTCTCAAAGCGACTAACATTCTCCTTTCCCTTCCTCCCCCACAACAAACACTCTCTGAGGTGAACGGGGCTGAGAGACTTCAGAGAAGTGTGACTGGCCCAAGGTCACCCTGCAGCTGCTTGTGGAGGAGCGGGGAAGCAAACCCAGTTCACCAGATTACGAGTCTACCGCTCTTACTGGCTGTTGATCCAACACTGGCTGTTGGATCATCTAGTCCAGCATCTTGTTCTCACAGTGGCCAACCAGATGCGTGTGGGGAAATCCACAAGGAGGATTCAAGTGCAAGAGCACCCTCCCCTCTGGCTGTTTTCTGGGAACTGGTATTCAGAAGCAGTGCTGCTGCTTCCAGCTGTGGAGGTGGAGCATAGTCATCATGGCTGGTAGCCATCCATAGCCCTCTCCTCCTCCATGAATTTGTTGAATCCTCTATGAAAGCCATCTAAGTTGGCAGCCATCACCGCCTCCTGTGGGAGGGAGTTCCATAGTTTATGTGCTAGGCTTGTCTGGATGGGCTGCTGTTGCCTAAGAGGTATGCAATAAACCTTCTTTGGAATAAATTGGCAGGTGGGTATAGGCCATATGGTTCTTGGGAAGCAAAGATTTCCACAAGTGAAATTAGATTGGGATAGACAGGGGTTGCCTTCTCCTATAGCACGCACTGCGGCTCATGAGCATTGGGGAGCATTTCAGGGGGGAATTGACTTTCTCTCTCTTCCTGTAGGGGAGAGGTGGGGGACCTGTGGCTCTTCAGGTGTTGCTGAACAGCTCCCATCATCTCTGACCATTGGCCATTTGGGCTGGGGATGACGGGAGTTGAAGTCCAACAACATTCACTGTCCCTTCCTATAGCATGTTGCGGTCCATGGGGGCTGACTTCGTGGCGAGCCCCTGAGTTGGGTTAGGCTTTCTTTTTTGGCTCCTTCTCGTTTCTTGGCCCTGCTTGGCTATTCAGTTGGACCAAAATACGATTTTAGTTAATTTTTATAGAAAGTTTAACAAAGTGAAAAGAAACAACTGCCCCACCACCAGCTCACATTAATAATACAATGACCATCAATACACCCATCTCAGTTTAGGCATGCGAGTCAAGATATGTCATATAAATGTCCTGATAGATATCCAAGCCAAATCGACATTCACAAGAAATGAGTTCAAATGTGGCAAGGGCAGTGTGGTCCTCAAGATCATTGCATAACAGATTGTGGGTGTTTCGTTTTTTTCCAGGCTGGAAGAATAAGGGAGTTCTGGAACAGTCATGAAACTTTCACAAAACGTAACACGAGCCTCCTAGCTTAATTCCTGGGAATGTTGATGCAAACACAGTTTCACTGAGTTTTGTGGGCCCTCCTTGAGAAATGTAGGGGAAATCTCTTCCCATCAATAGTGACTGGTACATTCTTGAGCAACATCTAACAGACTGCATTGTCAACATGATCATTCTAGCGGTTTTTAAAACAATTGTCATTGCTAGCACTTTCTCCCTTGCTGTTGTTTCCTCTCTACAAAGCTCTTGTGTGGTGTAGCTGTTGCACATTTTGTGAAGGGAGGTGTCTTGGATATTGAATTTTCAGGGTTATTTTTTATGCTTATTTACAAAGTCATTGTAGAAAAGGAACCTGGCCATGGCATGACCTTCAGTGCTTTGGAGCTGTGTGTTCCTTGGTGAATGATCTCTTAGGTTACCCATTGTGTGTACGTGCAAGAAAAAACATGTGCTCTCTGTGAACTTCATTTTATATGATGCCTTTGGGAAATGACTCAGTTTCTTCATACATGTGAATGTTTGGCCTGCCACTAGGGTTTCAAAATCTTATTTTGTTCAACACAAGGCAGAACAGTGTGGGTGCACCCTGCACTGCTCATGAACATTTGCAGAGATGTTGCAGAGATATTCACAAAACCATGCAGCTATGATCCTTCCTAGACTGTACCACTTCAGACTGCTGCTAGGGGGACACATTTGAATCCTTCTCCCTTTCGAAAGCATTTTTTTTTCTCCCACTAGGATAACGGGAAAACTAGAGTCTTCTTCCCTGACATGCTAGATTTCTATGTGTGTGGTGTCTTTGACATGTGGGAATGTCCAAACATGTAAGACACACACACAAACATTCTGCAGTCATATAGTCCTGAAAGGATGGTACCGTCTGATACTGATTACCATGTTTCGCTCGGTGTTTTGGTATCAGGTGTTTGTACATATGTGCAAGCATAGAATTATGATGGGGGTTGCTGTAGACAAGTAATTCTGGTTTTGTCTTATTACATGGGCAAAGGCACTTTTCAGAGTCTTGACATTTTGAATTCAGCCACTGGGATGTTAAGTGGGGGGAGCATAAGGTCATGGCACTGACGAGGGAAGATACATAAGCATAGGCAGTGGCCAATCTAGGCCATCATGCTGTTCTCACTGGTTAACCAGTTGCCTTTTGGAAACCCACAAATGAACCTGGGCACAACTACATATGAAGGCAGCCCTGTTTAGAGAAGTTTTTGATGTCTGATGTTTTAATGTATTTTTAATATTTTGTTGGAAGCTGCCCAGAGTGGCTGGGGAAACCCAGCCAGATGGGCAGGGTATAAAATAATAATAATAATAATAATAATAATAATAATAATAATAAAATTCCAGTTCTGCAGTTTCCAGCAACTGGTATTCAGAAGCATAGCTGCCTCTGCCAGTGAAGGTAGAGCATAGCCATTGGGCTTAGTAGCCAGTTATAGCCATATCCTCCTTTTGTATAATGTTTTAAAGCCATCCAGGTTGGTGGCCATCACTGCCTCTTGTGGTAGTGAATTCTATAGCCAGCCTAGCTATGCACCATGCGAAGAAGTTTCTTTTGCCTGTCCTGAATATTCCAACATTCAGCTTCATTAGATGTCCCCAAGTTCTCACATTATGAGAAGGGGAGAACAGCTTTTCTCTGTCCACTTTCTCCACACCCTGCATCATTTTATATGCCTCGATCGTGTTGTCTCTTGCTTGCCTTTTCTCCAAAACAGGGTTTCCCAAACTTGGGTCTCCAGCTGTTGTTGGACTACAACTCCCATCATCCCCAGCTAGCAGGATCGGTGGTCAGGGATGATGGGAATTGTAGTCCAGCTGGAGACTCAAATGTGGGAAACTCTGCTCTAAACAAAAAAACCCCTGATTGTTGCAACCTTTCCTCTTAGGGGAGTTACTCCCACTTCCTTGATCCTTTTGGTCTCAGATTCAGCAGTCACAGCTTCTGTTTTCCTTCCTTGCTTCCAGGTGACCTGTCAAGATGGTAGACCATCTGGCCAACACTGAGATCAACAGCCAACGCATTGCGACTGTGGAGAGCTGCTTTGGAGCATCCGGCCAGCCGTTGGCCATACCTGGAAGGGTCCTCTTGGGCGAAGGGATTTTGACCAAAGAATGCCGGAAGAAAGCCAAACCGCGGATCTTCTTCCTGTTCAACGACATCCTTGTGTATGGAAGCATTGTGATCAACAGGAGGAAGTACAGCTCCCAACACATCATACCGCTTGACGAAGTCACCCTGGAGACTTTGCCGGATACCCTGCAGATGAAGAACCGTTGGATGATCAAAACGGCCAAGAAGTCCTTTGTCGTTTCCGCCGCTTCCCTGACTGAGAGGAAAGAATGGATCAGCCACCTGGAGGAATGCATCCGCCACTTGCTGTCCAAGATGGGCCAGCAGCCCCCCACGGAACATGCCGCCCCCTGGATCCCAGACAAGGCCACCGACATCTGCATGCGCTGCACGCAAACCAAGTTCTCCACTCTCACGCGCAGGCACCACTGTCGGAAGTGTGGCTTTGTGGTGTGCGGAGACTGCTCTCGGCAAAGGTTCCTGATGCCTCGGCTGTCCCCGAAGCCTTTAAGGGTGTGCAACCTTTGCTACAAACAGCTGGTGGCAGCGAAAAAGGAGACCGAGGAACAGTCGAAGACAGCCCATTCTCCTCTGGCTGGCTATGAGCCTTCCAGCGGAGATGACAGCGACAGGTCCGACGAGGACAGAGTGGAACAGTGGTCAGCGGAGGCAGAGTTTTACACGTCCAACACAGCTTGGTCATCTTTCCATAGCTGACCCCTGCATGGCCTTGTTAATTTCAGGGGCCATACACTTATTTCCAAGGAGTACAGGGAACACATACTTTCCAAAGTGCACTTTTCAGAGGAGTAGCTTTCATCGTGTCTTTTGGTCCCATGTGTTTTCCTCCTCTGTGGTTAAGGAAAAAGATACTGAATCAAACTAAAATATGCAAGAGCCTGCTTGTCTCCTCTAAGGCCTGGCCTGCCCTATATATGTGAAGCAGTATCATTCCGCTTCAAGTAGTCATGGCTATGGGGAAGGGCTGTAGCTCAGCGGTAGAGCATCTGCCTTGTGTGCTGAAGGTCTCAGGTTCAATCCCCAATAGCATCTCCATCTAGGGCTGGGTGAGACTCCTGTCTGAAACTCTGGGAAGCCACTGCCAGTCAGTGGAGACCATTCTGAACTAGGTGGACCCAATGGTCTGATTCAGGAAGCTTCCTATGATTCCCTTCATGAATCCTGAGAGCTGTCATTTGTTAAGTGTGCTGAGTGTTGTGAGGAGACCCCTTATTCTGTCCACAGAGCTACAGTTTCCAGAACAATCTGTTCCTCTTCCCAGGGAACTCTGGGAATTGTAGAGGTCTCTGCACCCTGAACAAATCACAGTTCCTCAGATTCTTTGTGGAAAGCCATGACTTTTAAAGTGGTACGATACTGCTTTAAATGTATAGTGCAGATGGGGCCTAATAGCGAGTTGTTTTTATTGGCATATGTGGCAGAGCTGAATTGGACCCCCAACACATCAGGTGTTGAGCGTTGCTGAAAGTTTAGGTCCCTTTGATAGATTTGGGGGCACCTGAAATGTTGACTTTCAGCTTGGGCATTTTGCAGGCTTGGGCATCAGAACGGCACCCACCCCATCTTGTAGTCTCTGTCTTTCTTACACCCAGGAGTCAAATTCTGGATCCATAAATCATAAGTTATGAAACCAGAGGAAGATCTCCTTCACAGTTTTTAAACTGACAGCACCATGCAGAAATTAATCAAGGGCTTATAATATGATTGTATATCAAGAATCTAGTCATTTTTTTTAGGCTCTTCACAGAAGGATGCACTTTTTTGAATCTGCTTGATGCAGAAGGAGGGTAGGACCTTCTTGACTGAGTAGGGATTGAAATGAACAGAAAAAGTTTTGGAGATGCGCATTTCGAAATGAAGGTTTTTGGAGCAGCTTTGTCATGTGAGCAGATGGCTTCTTAACGGTGGTATTGTATTACGAGTGCTGGCTTGTGTGTGTGTGCGTATGTGTATATATATATATATATATATACACACACACACACACACACACACACACACTAAGTTTGGCTTTGCTTCCTGGCCCCCATTTTTTATTACTAATGTTTTTATTTTTCAAAACAACAAGAGGGACAAATGTTACAGTGCTTTGTTTGTGGGAGGCACAGGCCTTTTGCAACCAACTGTCATGTTTTCCACATGCAGTAAATCATACAAATAACTGAAAACACTATATATGTGAAATGCTAAAAATAGTTTGTAGACAAAAGGTGGTGGTGTGGCTTTTCCTGGAGGTGGGGGAAGGATCCGGTTGTTTCCGCCTGCAAAGTTTTTTGAAGACTCTGCACTTAACAGTTGCTCCCACCTGATGCAACACCAGTCATTGACAGCAGAAAAGCCTTGTTAACATTAATTTAAAATAACTCATTCCTTACTCCAGTAGAATGTAGGTTAACTCTTTTCTGTCGGCGACCGTTAGACAGCAGCAACTTGGTTGCCACAACAAATGTTATATTGGACCTTAATGTCAACCACAGTGTTGTTAGCCTGTTCAGTTACCTTGTTTTTTATACTCCTCTGGTTTTTTTGGAGCAAATATGTTGACTGGCATTTTTATACTTACCGTTTTCTAATCTGTGGGTTTTTATTTTCATTGGTCAATGTGTTTACATCAGAGCTGTTGGTCAACAAGCTTTTTAAGTTAATTAACCAGGCTTTTCTCTCTCCCTTTAATGGATGCACAGAGTTCTGATTTAATACTACACTGCCGTAATGCAATTTTCAGGTCTCTTCTTGAAGATTAGTGCATGCTGATGGAAAATAACACAAAAACACTAGGGCCCCGTTTGACTGCCATGGCATGCTGTATCGTGCAGTGGTTAGAGTGACAGACTAAGACCTGGGAGAGGCCAGAGTTGAAATCCTCACTCGACCGTGAAGCTCACTTGGTGACCTTGGGCCCGGCACTGCCGCTCAGCCTCACAGGGTTGTTGTGGGGATTAAATGAGGAATGGGAGAAGAACCAGGTACGCCAGCTTGAGCTCCTTGCAGAAAAAGATGGGGTAAAAACGCAATGAATTAAAAATTGCCGCAGAGGGCAGATATTGCAGCCTAGTCATACTTGCTCAGATGAGATCAGTTTTGTCTACACCAGGAGAAATCTCCAGATGTTGCTGGACGACAAATAAATTCTGGTTATTGTCTATGATGACTTCGACTGATGGGAGTTGCAGTACAGCTACATCTGGAAGGCAGTGCCAGCTGGCACTGGCTTTCCAAGGTTTCAGGCAGAGGACATGCTAAGCTAACCTGAAGATGCTGGGGACTGAACCAAGAACCTTCTGTGTGCAAAGTAGATGCTCTGTATCAGGACTTGAGAACCAAATCTGGCCAGTGGACCAGACTGTTACCTCCCCCACCCCTTGCACACCAGATCTGACAGGTGGATGTAGAGGATCCCTTGAGGTCACTATGACGTCAGGTGGCCCTTTTCACCAAAGGGCTAGGCTATGCAGCGCCTTGAAGAGGGCTTCTCAAGATCTGACAGCCAGCTGATCGTTGGGTCTTCAGGTGACCCTTTCAAGGCACCATCTTTCCCAGAGCTTTGCATAGGGCTCAGCCAATCAATGGATAGCCGGTACCTGCAAATCCCCTTTTGACTGAGGAGGGCATGGGCTTGGCTGAAACGACCTTGTGGGCCAGCTGGAGAAGTCTGGTGGGCTGAAAGAGGCCCGTGAGCTAGAGGTTCTCCACCCTGCTCTGTTGCTCTCCTGCCCATTCCATGGGAATTCTTGTAGCATTTGTTGAGAGGGGCAGCCTACGCATAGATGGCTTTACAGTTTGCTAGCAAAGCCCGTGCTCTGCCTGCAGATGGTCGTTGGTCTGAACTGAACCGAAGGCCACCTACTGAAAGCTGTGTAGAACTAATTCAACACCCTATTTTCCATATGTGCCTAAATCCATTACTGGATTGTGGTGGAGGCTTTTTGCCTTTATAATCTGCTTCCATTAGGATATGCACACTATTTAATGGAGCGTGTAATCTTCAAGATACGGACTAATGGCAGGAAGCCACAGTCATGGCTACTTTGTCACTTAAAAAGAAAAACCGTCCAAAATGAGTAGCTGACCATGTGATTTTGATTTTAAATGCCGTCCGGCCTGCTGTGAACTGAATGGACTCTCCGGGTGCTAGGTGGATGTTTCCAAGTTGCAAAGAAAGAGCTGGAAAAGCGAAGATTAATGAGAAGGAGCTTGGCCTGCTCCCCACCCCCTCCATGGAGTTCATTCTTTTCCGACTGACTACATTCCCCCAAGTCCTGTGTCAGCTGAAACAGTACCTTGCCTGCCCTCGCCCATGGAAAACAGCGTAGAAATTGGCCAGCAAAAGCCATAACCGAAACAGATGTTTCTGGTTTTAAGGAGCATTTAAAAAGGAAAAAAAAAATCCTTCTTTTGTCTTGTTTTCCTCCCTCATCTGACTCAAATAAATAGCAATAACAATGGCGTGTTTATGGAGTGTTGTTCCCATGATGCTTTGCAAGGCATTGTACTTAAGCTAAGTGAAGGATATAGACAGCTGGAAGCTGGTTGCTTGAATCTAGGCCCCATTCTAGGCCCTCTTCCCAAGAACTCTCACACAAACCGGCCGTGTTCTCCACAGAGGAGACACAAAAGGCACATTCGCACCATACATATAAAGTGCTTTGACGCCACACTCTTCTTTCAAAGCGTTCTGGGAGCTGTAGTTTGCTCAGGGTGTTGAGATGGTTGTTGGGAGACCACTGTTCCCCTCCCAGAGCTCTCCATGAAGAGGGACTAATGGTTAAACCACTCTTGGAATTGGAGGCCTGTGAGGCGAATACGCAGCCTCAGAACAACTCTCTGCTATTCTTAACTAAATTTTATTCATAAAAATATTTGTATACCGCTGTGTCGTGTGTGTGTGTGTGTGTGTGTACACACACACACACACACACGGCGCTGCAGTATGTATATATGCAGTTTGCAGCAGTAAAACCACACAATAAAAACCATATTTTAAAAGTTAAACACAGACATCAATGAACCATTGTGGAAGGATGTATTCCACCTGCAATAGGCCTGGTGGAACAGAAACGTTTTCAGCAGGTGCTTAAAAGTTGGCACAGAAGGTGCCTGCTAAATCTCTAATGGCAGAGGTTCCAGGTGACTCTTTGTCCACAGTGAACGAGGATTGTATTCACTGCACACCCTCACCCCAACTTGCCTTTTAGCTTGTGTTCTGGTGAGCTGCAAGTGAAGAACACTGGGCTGAGCTGTGTGTGTGTGTGTAGATTTCAGTGTGTCGCCGAGGGATTTTTTGCTGTTTCTGCTCCAAAAAACACAAAAACACGACACGTCTGCATTCCTGCCACCACAGTAGACGCTTCTGCATTCCAGTCCTCGACTGCCTTCCATTCTAGAAGTCTAGAAAGCCATAGAAAACAGAAAGTGTTCCTACTTGTAGTTGGTTCGACAGCTACAACCATTTCTGGACCGGGAAAGCTTGGACACAGTGGTTCCTGCACTGGTTGCTTCAAGGCTGGATTGCTGCAGTGCGCTCTGTATGGGACTCCCCTTGCACTTGGTCCAGAAGCTGTGAGGTAGGTTAGGCTGAGAGACAGATACTGGCCCAAGTCCACCCGGTCAACTTCAGGGCTGATTGGGGGGTTTGAATCCTGGTCTCCTATGTTCTAGTCTGACACTAACCAACTACACCACATTGGCAACATTTTCCAAATAATTTTATATATTTCTATTAATGCAATTAAATGGCTTCAAAAACGCATGAGGCTGCCTATATTAGGTGCTAGGTGCTCTGCAGTAACCTTTCCCTCACAGCGCTCTACTGCTTTGCTGTAAGGGCCCCACCACACAAAAATTGTGGTTGGCTTTTGCAGCATGAAGATCAGGAGGGGCGGCTTGGCAGAGACATCTCCTTATTACTCATCTCACCTGCTCACACTCACATTCAAACAAAGCCGCAGGAAAACGGCCACAGAAAAGAATGAAACAAAGATGGTGTTGTGGTTTGTCGGGGGGTGCGGCATTAAAAATGTTGTTGTTTAGTCGTGTCCGACTCTTCATGACCCCATGGACCAGAGCACATCAGGAACTCATATGCCTGTTGTCTTTGTCCATGGAGTTTTCGTGGCAGGGATACTGGAGTGGCTTGCCGGTTCCTCCTCCAGGTGGATCACGTTTGGTCAAAACTCTCCACTATGATCTGTCCATCTTGGGTGGCCCTGCACGGCATAGCTCATAGCTTCTCTGAGTTATTCAAGTCCCTTCGCCACGGCAAGGCAGTGATCCATGAAGGGGCATTAAAAATACTTCTTTGTATATGCCACATACAGAGGTGAGGTTTAACAAACAGTTAGGTCAAAAGGTTAAGTGCTTCCTGTTAAATGCTGATTGAAAGTAGTTTGTTAAGGGTGCTGAGAATTGTTAGGAGGCCCCTAACCATAGCTGTCAACTTTTCTCTTTTCTTGCAAGGAATCCTATTTGGAATAAGGGAATTTCCCTTTAAAAAAGGGAAACGTTGACAGCTATGCCCCTAACAGAGCTACAATTCCCAGAGTGGTTTAATAGTCAGTCCCTCTTCTCAGGGAATATGGTGGCCCTCAACACCTATCACAACACTACAGTTCCCATAATTCCTTGGGGGGAGCCATGGCTGTTTAAAGTGGCATCACAGCTCTTTAAATGGTGCGAATGTAGACCTAATCTCTGTTGAAAGCGTGTTTCACACCAAGAGACCTGCAACCTTAAATGGTTAGATCAGTTGGTCCTCTATAACACTGCAGACAACCAATAAGATTCCTCCAAATGAGCTCGATGAGCGAGCTGGGATATAGAGGCTCACATGATCCTTACGGCATCCTGGACACAAGTTGTTCAGGGCTTTGTATATCAACACAACATCAGGGGGGACAGAGAATATGGCCTTGCAGATACTGTTGGACTTCCATCATTCATGATACTTGGCTTTCCTGGCTGGGATTGGTGTGACCAGGAGTCCTCCCAACATCTGGTAGCAGGGCCAGTCCAAACATGAGAAGGGAGTGAAGCAGCCCGCCTTGGGCAGCAGAATCCCATGGGCAATGCCCCAAAGGGTACCTCACCCACTTCTGCTGCTGCTGCCAAGGTTGTGCAGTAGCAGCTTCCATCAAGATCTCACACAATCTTGCAGAACTCTAGTGGGATATTGCAAAGCTTTCACAAGACCTCACTGAGCTCTGCACAATCTCACGAGGTCTCACTGAAAGCTGTATGATCCTGGTAAGCGAGGCTTGGCAAGGCGGCAGCACTTTCCTGTTTCACCTCTGGCAGTGAAATGGGATGGATTGCCCCTGCCTTGAGAGTCACCGATTCTTCATCCCTGGTAGACATGAAAGGGGGGGGAAGGCCACGTTATAAACATAGAACTTCTTGACTCTGGAAACTCAACCTTGAAATGCATTTAGTTATCAAAACCAGACTGGAGTCAGCTCTGGGATATTTTCTTCTGAAGTGGTGAGGCATGACTGTTCTTCAAAGCTAGGAAAGTAACAAGGCACAGTTTTGTTTGAGAGAGAAAGAGCTGAGTGCAGTTTCAGAACTATCCTTTGTTGTATGCTTCCCAGTGACAGTGTTGGAGGCGCTCCAGCCACAAATGACAGGAAAACGAGGCTCCCTTGCCTACGGAGCGATGAAACCCAAAGCTTCGGCCTTCCAAAGTCAACAGAAAGGCATTGCAGAAGAAAAACAGCCGCTGTAAGAGCAGAAGAAGCAAAAGCTCCGCAGCAGGAGATTAGATGCTTTGACAAGTGGTTACTGTAAAATCATTGTATTGCACGATTTTGAACTTTTTGCAAACTTCACACTTTTCCAAATTTGGCAACGTTTGTGATTACTGCAAAATGGATTTAAAAATAAAAATGGGGGTGGGGAGCTTTTGATCTTCCTTAAACATCTGTACCCAGATATTTCTTCCATGTATAAGTTCACATATGCAGACAATTTGCTATAGGCTCTGTTGGGTGCTACAATCAGAGCAGGGGGCCCTCTTGGTAGTTTCTCCACCTTCATCAAACTCAAGGGTGTGAGTGGTAGCTCCTTGAGCTGTGAAATTCCCTCAATACACAAGTGTGTTGGCCACCTTCACTATACAAGTTTCATCATATGCTGAAGGCATTATGTCTTTACCCTGACCTTTGGCATTTGAGATTTATAGTTTTAGGACTCGCCCTATTATTGTGATCATCATTTGTTTTAAAATGTTTTTAATGCTGTAATTTATGTCGTTGCAGTAAAACCTTAGGGTGGAGGATGGCTAAATAATAATGATAATAATAATTCTCTCATACACATAGTAGCCACTGCATAAAAATTGAATAAATGCAACGTTAGGCTTCATGAGTAGGACCACAGTTTCCATCCAAGTGGTGGGAAGTAATAGTTCCGCTTTGTTCTTCACTGGTCAAACCTCATCTTTGGCATCATGTCCAGTTATAGGTCCTGCTCTTTTAAGAAGGATAGAGATAAACTGGAACATGTTCAGGTAGGGCAAGAAGGATGACCAGAGGTATGGAAAACAAGCTGTGGGAGAAGAGGTTGAAAGGACTGGGTTGATTTAGCCTAGATAAAAGAAGATGGAGAAGAGAGAGAACTATGAGGTCTATAAGAACATCAGAAGCACATGCTGGATCAGGCCAATGGCTCATCTAGTCCAGCATCATGTTCTCACTTGGACCAGCCAGATGCCTGTGGGAAACCAGCAAGCAGGATTCAAGCTTATGATCACTTTCCTGGGTTTTATGGCAACTGGTATTCAGGAACTATTGCTGCATCTGACTGTGGGGGCAGAGCATATCAATTGTGGCTAGTAGCCACTGATAGTCCTCTCCTCCACGAGTCTCCTAACAACCTTCAGCACGCTTAACAAACTACACTTACCAAAATCCTTTGGGAGGGAATGCATGGCTGTTTAAAGCATACTACTGCTTTAAATGCATGGTGTGGATGCGGGCTATGTCACATAAGCTCTTGAGAGCCAGTGTGGTGTAATGGTTAAGAGCGGTAGTCTCGTAATCTGGGGAACCGGGTTTGAGTCTCCGCTCCTCCACATGCAGCTGCTGGGTGACCTTGGGCCAGTCACACTTCTTTGAAGTCTCTCAGCCCCACTCACCTCACAGAGTGTTTGTTGTGGGGGAGGAAGGGAAAGGAGAATGTTAGCCGCTTTGAGACTCCTTAAAGGGAGTGAAAGGCGGGATATCAAATCCAAACTCTTCTTCTTCTTCTTCTTCTTGTACCTGTGCAGAGACGGCATGTGACTGTGTTTGTTGTGAACAAGCTGTCTCTCATCGCCACCCAAGTTTCAAATGGAAACCAGAAGTAAGGGCTATGTTTTGCTGTCGGCTTCTTCCTCAGCCCATGATCTCTCTGTCTCTCTCTTTGAGCAACACATTGTTTCTTCCAACCACAGTGAAGTGAAAGAAAGCTGCTTTCTGTAGCTTGGCTGGGGTAAAATTATTTTGAGCCTCCCAGTGGCTTTGGAATCCCACAGTTCTCTCTTGCAAAGTTTAGGATGAATTAAAATTTTATCTTCCCCGAGTTTTTTTTATGCAGCTCTCATAAATCACACTTAATGGGGGGTATTAGCAGAGAGTTAACGGCAATTAAGCGATGAAATGTGTGTCTTCTGGCTCGGAAATGTGGAGAAACACATTGATTTTTATGATCTCTTGAAATGCAGAGATGAAAGCTTCCTTCCTAATTATAGACAAAATAGATTCAAGCTGCCAAAGCAAAGACCACTTCCTCTCCTCCCTACCCTTTTGGATTCTTACATTCCTGATAGCAGAAGCTTGATGAAGGCAAAAGCTTTCAGTAAGCCTAAGGAATGGAACTGCCATGGATAAAGGCACTCTACCTCAGAATACCAAGTCACGCGGACACACAGATGATGGCCGTAGTATCTGCATCCTGCTTGCAAGCTTTCCAATAGCATTTGAGCTCCCTCGGAAGTTGGTGGATTCTCCATCATTGGAGGTCTTTAAGCGAAGGTTGGATGGTCATCTGTCAGGGGTCTCTTCTAGCCTAATAGCTGTATGATTCTGTGATTCATCCTTCAACAGGCTACCTTCCCACTGCTTGATAAGCCTGAGAGCAATGTGAGAGGAGCAGAGAGAAGGGATTTCTGCTGGAACAGAAGCAAGCAGCAGCAGCAGCCACTCTATCCATCTGCCTGCTAAAGTTCGGCTTGACTCCGTCATACTCAAAGCACCAGCAGGTTAATAACTGTCACTGGAACAGATGGTTTCTCAGTAGAAATGTGCACCTCTCCACCGCCCGCGACATACGCACAGTTCTTCAGCTGTTTGCTAGAACTGCTGGCACAGCGTATCTTGGGTTTCCAAGGCAACACCTGTGTTTTTGGCACTTGGCACTGACATTATGCAGCTGATAAGAGGCACCATCTTAAGAGCCTCAAGGCAGACTGCTGGGGTGGCAGGTGGCTGCTCTTCCACTCTGCCTCCCAACACACACACACACACACACACACACACACACACACGGCCTTAAATCCCAACAAATACTGCTGGTGGGATTATGGGGAAAGGGTAAGAAGTAAAATGCAGTTTATACAGCAATGCAACTACAAGGCCGAGACACCACAGAATGCTGCATTTGAGCTGGGTCTTGGTTGGAATCCACATTTTCACACACACATTTGCAGTTGAAGTTCTTCTTGTTGTTCTCCTCCTTTATTGCATTTTTGTCCCACTTTTTCCTCCAAGGAGCTCAAAGTGGCATGCATGGTTCTTCCCCTTCTCATTTAATCCCCACAACAACCCTGTAAGGTTGATCAAGCCAAGAGGCGGTGACTGGTCCTAGGTCAACCAGTGAGCTTCATGGCTGACCTGGTCTCCCAGGTCCTAGTCACACATTAGAACCCCTCCCATCAAGGTTGCTTATACAATATTTACGTCAAGCGTACAATTTCCTGGAAACTGCAGTTTGTTCAGGGTGCTGGGAACTGCAACTTCATGAGCGGTAAACCACAGTTACCAGAATTATTTGGGGGAAACCATATGCTTTTTAAATGTATGTTGCATACACAACCAAAATATAAGACGGGAGACACCTGACTTGCCATTAATACATGTGAAAAGGTTCTATGGGTCTTAGTAAACCACAAGCTAAACAGGAATCACAGACTCCTAGAATTGTAGAGCTGGATGGGACCCCCAGGGCCACCTGGTCCAACCTCCTGCAGTGCAGGAATCTCAACATGTGGTCCCCCATCCAATCTGCAACCAGACCAGATCCTTCTTAGTAAACATGGTGGTGCAGCAGCAAAACAAAAGCTAATGCTATTCTAGGCTGCATCGACAGAAGTGTAACATCCAGATCAAGGGAAGTAATAGTACAACTCTTATTCTGGGTACCACAATTTAAGAAGGATATTGACAAGCTGGAACGTGTGCAGAGGAGGATGACCAAGATGATAATGTGTCTGGAAACCAAGCCTGATGAGGAACAATTGAGGGAGTTGGGCATGTTCAGCCTGGAGTAGGGGAGGCCGAGAGGAGATATGGTAGCCATTTTCAAATATCAGAAGGGCTGTCACATGGAACAAGCTTGTTTTCTCCAGCTCTGGAGGGTAGGACTCAAAGCAATGGCTTCAAGTTACAAGAAAGGAGATTCTGACTTAACATTGGGGAGAACTTTTGGACAGTAAGAGCTGTTTGATGGTGGAATGGACTCTTCAGAAAGTGGTGAACTCTCCTTCATTGTAGGTTTTAAAGCAGAGATTGGATTGTCATCTGCCATGGATGCTTTACTTGATATTCCTGCATTGTAGGGAGTTGGACTTGTTCCCACCCATCCCAGTGAGTGCTCCCTTTTGTCTTTGTCCCCACTTCCCAATTTGTTGATTTGTGTGTATTCATTTTGCACAAACTGAGCATGTGCAGGAATCAGCAGAACTGTGTGTGCGAACAGTAACACACACCCAGGCATTCCCAATTTAATACAAGCTTGCATGGGCACTCTTATGTTCAATCCTAAAATGGCACTCATTTCACATTCCAAAACAGGAAAGTGCTTTGATAAGCAGTATCTGAATGAATAGAGTACAGCCAGCCAACCGACCAATTTCCTAAAAAATGGATATGAAACATTTGCATTGTGAATAAACTGAAGCAGCTCTTCCACACGTGCAGGCTATCGCTTTTTCAATTGCAGTGGTGCCGGCCCTACCATTAGGAAGAGTATGGTAGCTGCCTCTGGCAGCAGACACTGTGGGTCAGGCAGCAGTGGTCAAACGCTTATGAAAAGAAATCCATGTGGCCTGCCATACACTGCCTAAGATGCCATCAGGTGCATTGGAAGATGCTGTCCCATCCACTGACATCTGGATGACCACATGTTCCCCATCCCTGGCCTTGAGTCAGACAAAACATCCTGCATAAAATCAATGAGTTCTGCTCTTGCAGACAGCATTTGAGAGAGACTGGTTTGTGAAAATGTCCATGGGCTGTATTCAGTGTTCTCTGACCACTAGTTCAAGGGCTCTTGCACCAATGGGCAGCTGAATTTTAATGTTGGAAACAGAAGAATCCCGCCCAACAGGTTATGTAATCTATTGCACGAAAAGTTACCAGCTTTTGCATGCCCTTGCACAGGAGCATTCTGCTGGTGCAAGACATCTCGCCTACTTAGTGACTTTAACTTGACGCTACATTGGATACAAAGGCTGACAATTTGCTGCCTGGAATAAACTTTCTCTGTGTCCATTGTGCAGAAGCCAGCTACTATTAAACTAGCAACTGAATCTTCAGACTGGTGGGTTCTGGGTTGGTTTGTTTTTTGCAGGTGTGTTCTGTAACCCAACATTGCCACAGAAATACAGTGGTACCTCGGGTTAAGTACTTAATTCGTTCCGGAAGTCCATTCTTAACCTGAAACTGTTCTTAACCTGAAGCACCACTTTAGCTAATGGGGCCTCCCGCTGCCGCCGCACCACGGGAGCACGATTTCTGTTCTCATCCTGAAGCAAAGTTCTTAACCTGAAGCACTATTTCTGGGTTAGCGGAGTATGTAACCTGAAGCGTATGTAACCTGAAGCGTATGTAACCCAAGGTACCACCGTAGTGCATTAGTGGTGGGTTTGTACTGGTGCTGTGCAAAACTCTCTGCATCCTTAACAAATAGTTCCTAATGACTCTTAAAGTAGTATTGTAGTCCTTTAATTGTGTCATCTCTGCAAAGCCTAGGACTTGCACCAAACATCCACAGTATAGTTGGCGGGATCTTCAGGCAGCATTGACTTCTCTATGTTGCTCTTCACAGATTGCTGCTCTTATGGTTTTTACTCTCCATACTTGATTGTAGCACCAAGCTCCTTGGTGATGTAGTTTGTCACCACCATGAGCAATTTCTCTTGAACAGATGAGCTTCCCATGACCAGTGCTGTGAGCTGTGCCACATCCATCCAATCCATGTTCCTAACAACGGCCCGGACATCTTCATAAAGCTTTTTTTGCTCTCTTGGAGGCAGTTCCAGAATAATCTGAGGGACGGGCTTAAATTGTCCACTGGCCATTGAGGCTGCAATCAAGCCACCAAGTGCCCCACCTAGAAAAACAACACAGAGAGGTGTTTTAAGCCACCCTGCTCTCAAAGCATTACGCCTCTATCTAGAAAGCATTTTTGCAGATTCAATCCTTCTGCTGCATTCATTCACTCACTCATGCACCCACACACCCCTTGTCTTCTGTTGTGGAGATAGATTAGAGCAGGGGCCAGCAACCTTTTTCAGCCATGGGCCGGTCCACCGTCCCTCAGACCATGTGGTGGGCCAGACTATATTTTTTGGGGGGGAGGGAAATGAACGAATTCGTATTCCCCACAAATAACCCAGAGATGCATTTTAAATAAAAGCACTCATTCTACTTGTGTAAAAACACCAGGCAGGCCTCACAAATAACCCAGAGATGCATTTTAAATAAAGGCACTCATTCTACTAATGTAAAAACATGCTGATTCTCAGACGGATCTGCGGGTCGGATTGAGAAGGCGACTGGGCCGCATCCGGCCCACGGGCCTTAGGTTGCCTACTCCTGGATTTGAGCTCATAAACTTGAAAACCCAGCCAGTAGGCCCACTGAATTTACTGAACATGTGTTAGCCATGTCCTTTGACTACAAATATGGTCACGCTGAGTAGGATTAGCATTTGATACAACCTAAGTAACGAACCAGCTCTTGGGGGCTGCTTTTGGAAAGGAGAAATCCCTCAGAGTAAGGAAAGTTAGGAGTAAGCTAGAGCAGGGAGTTGAAAAACACATGGGGTGGCATTTGGGAGGTGTAGACATTTTACCCATTGACAGCTGCAAGGCGGAAATGGAACAGGGTGGAAGATAGAGGGGAAATAGCTCACTGGATTGAGAGGATTTCTGGTTCTGATCACATCCATCCCAAACTGCAATTTAGTGTTAGTTCAATGTGTTTATTCACCTCTGCCACCTCAAAAAATCCACTCTAGCTGTACTTGCACATAGTGCTACTCCAAACCGTGGTCTGCCACAAATGTGCTGTCTCCCAAGGAGCAGATTGCAGAGTCCTTTTAGCTCTGCACGGCACAACAAGTAAGCCAGCCAGGATCATGATTTAGTGAAGCTGCCTTAGATTGACACCCTCTTTACTGCTTCCACTGACTAGCAGCGGCTCTCCAGGGTTTCAGGCAGAAGTCTCTCCTAGTCCTACCCTGGCAGGTGCTGGCAGTGGAACCTGGTACCTTCTGCTTTCCAGGCAGGTGCTCCTTCCACTGAGCCACAGCCTTTTCCCTTCCCTTCACCAGCCTGTGTTTCCATATTCATTCACTAATGTTTTAGTTCAATGGCAAGATCATTTTGCACTGAGGTTTCCCTTTGATAAGGGAGCATGTTCTCACCCACTGCAAGTCCAACCGGTCCGGCCATCAAGCCTCCAGTGAAGGCACCCAAACCTGCCATAAGTGCTCCTCGTCCCGAATGTTTGATGGCCGCCTTCATTCCCCGCACTTCAGATAGTCGGCACAGAAGTTGAATCACATCATTCACATGAATCGGCATTGTTTAGACCTTGAATTTTTTTTATAAAAAAATGTACAGTGGTCACAACACATGCATGCACAATTCAACAACTTGTTTTAAAATTATACAGACAGAATACACACACATAAGTGTGCTGGGCAGCTGCCTTCCACTTTGAGTCAGGCCACTGGTCCATATAGCTCAGGGTTGCCTACACTGATTGGCAGTAGCCCTTCTGGATTACAGGCAGGGAGTTTTTGTTGGGAATTCCATTCCACCCTTTGCTGTAGATATGTGGGATTTCTCAGCGGCAAGGCTGAGAAGGGAGACTCTTCGGCTGGGGCCAAGCCAGCTGGCTTTCCTTCCCATGGTTCTGACAGTTTTCTCTTCCACACCTGGAGATGCAGGAAATTGAATGTGGGACCTTCTCCTTGCAAGGCAAATGTTCTACCACTGAGCCGCTTCCCCTCCCAGCTTCCCACAATATCTTAAGCTTGACAAGCCTCATGATTCATCTGTTGGTTTTGAACTGCAATGCTTTGGGCAAACCTTTTTGGGTCTTAGTTGCTGTTCTTTTCTCATATGCAGCCAGAGACCAAAGATCTACTCCCTGTTTTGATTGGAATGCAAGAAGATACAGTGGAACCTCGGTTGTCGAACGTAATCCATTCTGGAAGACCGTTCGACTTACGAAACGTTTGACAACCAAGGCGCAATGGGCGGTCGGCAATTTCAATGGAGAAAATTGAGAAATGCGCCTCAGAAGCCATTCGACTTCCATGGTGCATTCGAAAATGGAAGCAATTACCTCTGGGTTTTCGGCATTCGAAAACCAAAACGTTTGGCTTCTGAGATGCTCGAAAACCAAGGTTCCACTGTACAAGGTTGCAATCAACAATCTTCTTCCACAGCTGCAAAGAAGAAGAGGAGGAGGAGGAGGAGGAGTTTGAATTTGACATCCCGCTTTATCACTACCCAAAGGAGTCTCAAAGCGGCTAACATTCTCCTTTCCCTTCTTCCCCCACAACAAACACTCTGGTGAGTGGGGCTGAGAGACTTCAGAGAAGTGTGACTAGCCCAAGATCACCCAGCAGCTGCATGTGGAGGAGCGGAGACCCGAATCCGGTTCACCAGATTACGAGTCTACCGCTCTTAACCACTACACCACACTGGCTCTCTTTGGTCTTGTTTTATGACCCATATTTTAGGCCTTCTGGCACCCCCATACTTCCATTTAATTTCTTGTTATCTTACAATACATTTCTGTGTTTGCTTAATAACCTCATTTATTATTCTTTTTGTTATTATTATTTGAACCTATTAATAGTGGGGGGGTTTTAAAAACATAAGTCAGAGTCACTTGTAATCATACATTAAAACAAATATGAAATTAAAACAGAATAAAAACAAAAGGCAAAAAATGCAATCTTTTTTTAAAAAATGTAAACAGCAAGACCAAGGCATCCCACCCACTGAAGGAGCCACAGACAATTAAAAACAAAGGTCTGGCAGAAAATAAACATTATTATTATGTTTTAGTTCAGTGCAGCTTACACCCAAGTGCAAGCAGAACTGCAACCTTCATGATTTAGTAATAGAATAAGGTGTAATACAAACCCTATGGGTGGTATTCGGTGTTAGTACTACTCTCGAGTTGACCCACTGAAATTACTGAGCATAAGTTAATCATGCATATTAACTTCAAAGACTCTGCTCTGAGTAGAATTAGCACTGAATGCCATCCACAGAATTTGAAAAAGGAATATAATCTGAAAAGTGAAATGTTGCATTGCAACTATTTTTTTTAAAAAACACCCTACTCCTCTCCTTTTTCGTAGCTCAATGAATAACAAATCCTACCTTGTTTCATTTAGCAGAATGCCCAGTAAAGGATTCAGGCAGCGGTGCCTGCATACAAGGGAGTAAGTCTCATTGATGTCAGTGGGCCTTACTTCTGAACAAACATGTTAATAAAGGAAACTCAATTAAAAATAGTTTAAGAGATTTTACAATATCACTCACGCAACAGCTTCTCTCCTAGAGGAACCTCTTCAGATAGAATAAGACAGCAAAATGGACCTCTTCAAGAGATAGTTCTTCTGGTTCAGGAAGCAGGCAAATTAAAAAATGAAAGTAAGCAACTTTGAATAAAACCTGACTTTCAGTTTAACAAAAACCCACTGCTTACCGTTTATTGCTAACCCAATCAAGCCTCAGACACGCCTCCTTTAATCAACTGGCTCCCTCTCTGCTCCTGTGTCTCACACAATCTTGTCAGTTTTAACTTCAAGGCTCTCAGTAGCCAAGTCTGTTATTTCTCAGCCTGAATGTCCACATAAGAGTCACCTTTGCTCCTTCAGTTTCACCACACCCTAGAGTACAAAGGTTCTCCCCTTCTCAAATAATGCCTGGAATTCTCTCCCAGAATACCTAAGTCACACCCCACCTTTGCTGTCAAATTCTTCTTGAAACCCACCTGGTCCAAGGTACCTTTTGCTTATCCTCCTAATCCTGGACTCCTGTGTCCTCTCCTGGGCACCACAAGTTAAGAAGGATATTGGCAAGCTGGAATGTGTGCTGAGAAGGTGGAGCAAGATGATAAAGGGCCTGGAAGCCAAGCCTTATGAGGAACTGTTGAGTTGTGTATGCTTAGCGTGGAGAGGAGGCGGCTGAGAGGTGATAAGATTGCATCTTCAAATATCTAAAGGGATGTCACTTAGAAGATGGAGCAAGGTTGTGGGGTGGTTTCTAGCTGGGATAGTTGAATCTGCATTTCCTCCCTTCTAACCCTGTGAGTAGACACGGGTTAAGAGAAGGAGGTGTCTGGACCAGGGATGAAGGAGGGGAAAGGACCTTCCATGCAAGTAATGGCAGGGAGTGGGAGGTCTGGAGGTGGGTGAAGGTATCCATTGGGGAGGAGGAGAGCTAGTTACATCAAAGTACTGGCTTCCTCTGTTTGCCCACCATATATCAGAATCTGTGAATGTTGACCAAGCAAATCCCTTGTCTGTCCAGAATAAAGCATCTATCATAAAATTAGAAAGTTGGAAGGGGCCTCGATCATTGTCTAGTCCAACTCCCTTCATAGCAGAAATCACAGCTAAAGAATTCCTGACAGAGGACCATCCAAGCGCCAGTGAAGGAGAGTCTACCAACTTCCTAGGTAGTCTGTCGAACAACTCTTACTGTTAGAAAGTTATTCCTAACATTTCATGGGAATCTTTTTTCTTGTCATTTGAATCCATTGGTTTGGGTCCTAGCCTCCGGAACAAGAGAAAACAAGCTCACTCCATCTTCCATGTGACAGTCCTTTAGATATTTGAAGATGGCTATCACATCTCCTGGGACGCGGGTGGCGCTGTGGGTAAAACCTCAGCGCCTAGGGCTTGCCGATCGCATGGTCGGCGGTTCGAATCCCCGCGGCGGGGTGAGCTCCCATCTTCGGTCCCAGCTCCTGCCCACCTAGCAGTTCGAAAGCACCCCTAAGTGCAAGTAGATAAATAGGTACCGCTTTATAGCGGGAAGGTAAACGGCGTTTCTGTGTGCTGCACTGGTGCTGGCTCGCCAGAGCAGCTTCGTCACGCTGGCCACGTGACCCGGAAGTGTCTCTGGACAGCACTGGCCCCCGGCCTCTTCAGTGAGATGGGCGCACAACCCTAGAGTCGGACACGACTGGCCTGTACGGGCAGGGGTACCTTTACCTTTACCTATCACATCTCCTATCGGTCTCCTCTAAATCCATGCTAAACATCCCCAACTCTCTCAACCATTCCTCATAAGGCTTGGTTGCCAGACCCTTGAGCATCTTGATCGCTGTCCTCTGCACGTGTTCCAGCTAGTGCCCTCATGATTTGATTGTCAGTGAGAGGGACAACCTGACATGTGTAACTGGGCAGATGTGCTCAGAAACGCTGTGCTATCAGCTCCATCATGGAGGAAGCTTTGGAGTTGATGCAAGGTGTCTTCCTTGGACGTACAAAAAGGTCTCACCAAGGAGCTCAGAGTGGTGTACATGGTTCTCCCCCTCCCCATTTAATCCACACAACCCGCCCCCCTGCCCCGTGAGGTAAGATTAGGTGAAGAACAGCAGTGACTGGCCCAAGATCACCCAGTGAACTTCATGGCTGAGTGATTTGAACCCTGGTCTCTGCCAGGTCCTAGCGCAGCACTCTGTTCCACTACATCACTCTTGCATATGTGCAATGCCTACACTAAATCCTGGAAGGCTCTGCTTTCCCTTTAGCCCATATTGGACTTCAGAAATTGAGTCAGTAAAGTCATACCACCTTATACATAAGTTAATGGAAAAGGGGGGGGCTCTCCTATCTCTCTGCCTTAACATCTTCATAAGTCTCGCCTTTGCTCCTCTAGCTTCACCCCACTCCTCAGTTCAATGGTTTCCTCTCTCCTCAACTACTTCCTAGAAGTCTCTCCTTGAAATCCCCCAACCACTGCTTTATCAAATTCTTCCTCAAAGCCACCTTGGTCCATGAAGCATTCGGCTTCACCTCCAAATCCTCATCCCGATGTCGTGAGTTTCATGGCCAAGTGGGGAATTCAGATCCTGGTTTCTCCCAAAACCTAGCCCTGCACTCTGTCCACTATGTCTCTCTGGCATATGTGTGATGCCAAAGGGAGCTTTGCTCCCATGCAAACAACAGCTTCACAGGAGCCATTCTTATCATGACCACAGCAGGGAAGAAAATGGTTAAAATCCCTCCTCTGCACCACCAGCAGCAATTGTTGGCTTCATTCCCACCCCAACTCACAACCCAGTGACTGCAATTTGCATGCAACATGCAGATTTAAAAATAATAACAATGATGCCGACACTTTTATCACCATGTCTACTTTGGTTCAGAGACAAATGACCATAGCTCATCTCCTGAAAAGGTTCTCTGCTCTGGTTGAAAGCAGCTTTCAGAAGTGTTTCATAGCCTAGATAACAGGACCCTTGTACCTGGAGATGAGAGCAATCAAACACTGGAGCTACAGTCACTCGCCCAGTCTACAGCCAGACCCATATTTACATCACAGGAGGCTGTCCAATGTGCCTTGCCTGCATTTGCAAGCATTTTAGTGTGGATTTCCCCTAATAAATATTTTGCTATGCAATTTTGACTAATATATGCATTTTTGCATACATTGGCTGGCTGGCTAGAGAACTTCATCACAAAATTTTGAGAAGCAAATTTCGAAGGACAGCTCACATATTAGTTCTGGAACGCAAATTAAAATGCGAATTCTATTAAAATGAAAACAAACTCGATTTTCCCCCTCATCCCTACACAGGAGACTTGTAAACAGTTTTTAAAATGCAATCACACCAAAGCTCACAAGGGGCAGATTTATTTGAATTCAGCTGCTAAGGAGGGGTGGAAACAGAAACTTTGTTTTTTCTATGTTCTTGGCACTCTGTTTCAAAAAGGCACGTTCCAACTCTGAACTTTTCTTTTTCTAATCAAGATTAGCAGGGAAATGGAAGAAAACAAGCATATAAGGATAAAAATGGGAGACAAAAGGCACCCCGCACCAATGGATCTAGAGCTGTGCGCGCGCCATACATTTAAAGGACACCGCTTTCTCCCAAAATAATCCTAGGAACTGTAGTTTACTCCTCGCAGAGCTATAATTCCCCAGCAACCTTTTAAAAGCTACAGTTCCCAGGATTATTTTGGGGAAAGTCAAATGCTTTAAATGTTTGGTGTCTGCTTAGCCTAGGACCTGCACCACACATCCCCAGTGAGGCTGGTGGTATCTTCATCTGGCATCCGCTTCTGAATGCACACACATTGGTTTCGTCAAGGTTTCGTTTTGTCGAACTTGATTTCGGCTTTGAGTTCATTGGCGAGATAGTCCATCACCACCCCAATCAGTTGCTCTTGTATGGCTACATCCTCCATGATCAGGTTCATGAGCTGCACCACGTTCGGCCACTCCATGTCCTGGACGACTCGAAAGGCTATCTTGTACAGTTGCTGCTGCTTCGCAGGAGGCATTTCCCGAATAATCTGACGGGCAGGCTTAAATTGTCCAGCTGTCATCTGGGAGCCGACCAAGCCACCAACTGTACCCCCTAGAAAAGCCACACAGAGAAAAATATTGTTTTGTAAGCCATCCTGCTTTGAAAGCTTTGCAGCCCAATCCAGAAAATCTTTTGCAGATTCAAGAGTTCTGGTACATCTATGCATTAATAATAATAATAATAAATATTCTGCCCATCTGGCTGGGTTGCCCCAGCTGCACATGCACATGCACATGCACAGGTACACACAACACACACCCCTTTGTCTTCTGGTATAGGTGAAGATCAGAGCCCAGAGGACCCTGCCTTGGAATGTTTCATTTCATACAAGGATTCTGTCCTGGTTCCCAGTTGCTGAGGAACAAGGACTTGAAGGAGGAGCCTTCCAATAGGATTTAATGTTTAGATCACCACAATATACATGCAAATCGCTAGCTTAACCTAATACAGGGCAATACACATAATTAATTCTGCATGCATCTACAACAAGGGCAGGTGATCTGCCTCCCAAAGCTTTGAATGTTGCTCTGATACTGACACACACCCTTGCTATCCTATATATAGGAATGAAGCAGGCTCAGCTTAGTGTAGCAAGCGTTTCTGCAATCTCTCACTTAGGTGGATTCATCTATTCCAGGCATAGGCAAACTCTGGCCCTCCAGATGTTTTGAGACTACAATTTCCATCATCCCTGACCACTGGTCCTGTTAGCTAGGGATGATGGGAATTGTAGTCCCAAACATTTGGAGGGCCGGAGTTTGCCTATGCCTGATCTATTCTTTCCTCTTTTGGTGCCTTCTGGATCTAGGTGATGAGGGAGGTGTCTCTGCCCCCCTCAGAAGTGGGCTACACCAACTGAACACCCCTCTCTGGAGAGGCCGGCCCCTCCCAGTGTCCAATGGCACTGGGGCTGGGGGCGCAGCAGGCATTGTGCAAGTGTCAAAGAGAGGATCTGACAGCTGTAGAGAGGCAAGTGGTGACAGAGAAGGAGGTGGGGCAAGAGAGCAGGTTGAAGGAGCATCTCTCCCCTCCCCAGGATCCTCACTCTTAAAAGGTAAAGGGACCCCTGACCATTAGGTCCAGTCGTGACCGACTCTGGGGTTGCGGCGCTCATCTCGCTTTATTGGCCGAGGGAGCCGGTGTACAGCTTCCGGGTCATGTGGCCAGCATCACTAAGCAGCTTCTGGCAAACCAGAGCAGTGCACGGAAACGCTGTTTACCTTCCCACTGGAGTGGTACCTATTTATCTACTTGCACTTTGTGCTTTTGAACTGCTAGGTTGGCAGGAGCAGGGACCGAACAACGGGAGCTCACCCCGTCGTGGGGATTCGAACTGCCGAGCTTCTGATCGGCAAGTCCTAAGCTCTTTGGTTTAACCTGCGTTCCTCACTCTTAGGCTGCCCCAATTCCAGCAGGGACCTACACATCCCACTGGCCCAGGTCATAGAAGCATAGAATTGCAGAGTTGGAAGGGACCCAGGGGGTCATCTACTCAAACCCCCTGCAATTCAGGAATAACAGCTATCTGGTCCTCAGCAGTCCATCCATTTGCAAAGTTTGTTCCTTAAAAGTGAAGGAGACATTAGCATATTTAACACTGATCTCCTTGAGGGTCTATATACCCCAAACTTGACTCTTAAGAGTTAACTCCTCATAAAAAAAAGAAATTAGCAAGATTTATATATACTGCTTAATTAGAAGAAGAAACGATTCTCTAAGTGGTCTACATGACTAGGACTCTACTGTAGCCAATCCATTAGGCTATTAACAGAAGGGGATCAGTGGAGGCTGGCCCGTTAGGGAGAATGGGGCACTGCCCCACCAGCAAATATCCACCTTTCTTTCAACCAGTCCTGCTATGGCTCTACATTTCATTGTCTCCACCTGCTGTTGATTGCCTTGCATTCTGCTCTACCAGTCCCAACAGACTTCAACCACCAATGTTAGATATTGCACATGGGACGTCTCTGCCTCTCTGTCTGGCAAGTGCTCAACCACTGAGCTACAGCTCTCGCTCTGTAGAGCCTCAGAAGGACAAGACATTGCACAAAAGGTTCCCTGGCCCTAGCGTAGCATGTTGTCCAAACCCAGAATCATGGTGGCACACTCTTCTTCTGAACCACGGGCAGCTACAGATTGTGGGTAAGGAAGAGAGAGATGAACCATGATCCTGGGTTAGGACAACACACTGAGCAGGGCTTAGCTGCCAAGCTAAAAGGACCAGGGAGAAACCAAGCAGCACTCGGAGTAGATAATCGTTTCGGCTCACTGTGATGTGTGAACCAGGTCTTTGACTGCCATTAATTCTGGGTGATTGTCCATGAAAGGAGTTAAGACTCCTTCCTGGACAGGAACACAGGAAACTGCCTTATACTAAGTCAAACCATGAGTCCATCTTGCTCAGTATCATCTTCTGCATTGATTGGCAGCAGCTCTCCAGGGCTTTGGGCAGCCCTAACTGGAGTTTCCAGGGATTGAACCAAGAACCTTCTGCCTGCAAGGCAGATGCTCTACCACTGAGCCACGGCCCTTCCCCAGCGCTAACCATAACATGTATGCCTCCATACCCATTCACTACCGCTTTAATTAAATAGGCAAGGCAATTTTGCGCTGAGATTTCCGGTTCATAAGGAAGCACATACTTACCTACTGGAATGCCAACTGGTCCGGTCAACAAGCCCCCAAACAGGGCCCCCAAACCTGCCGCAAGGGCAACTCGTTTGGGTTGCTTGGTGGCAGCCTTCATTCCCCATATATCAGATAGTCGGCCCAGAAGCTGCATCATCTCATTCACGGCAATTGGCGACATGTCTGGCTTATACCTTGAAAGCAGAAAGGAAGATCCACTTCAATGAGCATGCCCACAAGATGCTGCCATATACAGAGTCAGGCGATTTGGCGCATCTAGGAATGACTTGACATAGTATATGGCAGAATAGAGCTCCTAATGGAAGCAGCTCTGCACAGTTTCAGGCAGGGAGCCTCTCCCAGCCCTGCTTGGAGATGCTGGGAGCTGAATCTGGGACCTTCTGCATGCAAAGCAAGCCCTCTAAAATGAGAGCCTTTTTCTTCTAGACACCCCACAGTATCTGCTGCTGAACAAGTCTCATGACTCTTCCCTCGGTATTGAACCACATTGCTTGGGATGAATATAGTTGGTCATATTTGCCTTGCTTTTCTCTCTCACAATCACAGACCTAGAAATCTGCTTCTTGCATTGTACTCAACTAAGTCCTACTTGGAGAAGGCCCACTGAAATTCATGAATGAAGTGAGGCATGTCTATTAACTTCAATGATTCTCCTCTGAGCAGGACAAGCACTGAATACCACCCCTTGTTTAGACTGGCATACAAAACCCAACATTGCAGACAATAACCCATTTATACTGGTGCCAAAAAAGGTGTATATTGCCTTATGGTTCTCATATTTTCGAGGCTTCTCACACCCCATGCCTCCATTTAATTTACAGTCTTACAACACAGTTCATGGGGGCTTACACCCAACTGCAGGTAAGACTGCAACCTTTGCAATTTAGTAAGATAATTAGTTGTCAGGGTATGGGCGTGTCTTTATTTGCTATAATCAAGAACTCTCAAAAAGAAATATAATCTGAAAAGGTGAAACTAAGCCAAACAAATCTCCCTTCCCCCTTTGTGTCTCAATAAATAGTAAATCCTATCTTGTTTCCTTTAACAGAAAGCCCATTAAAGAGGTTAAGGTCAATAGCTAAGACAGCAGCACATTTACAGGGGTGAAACCCTCATTGAAGTCAGAGGTCCTCACTTCCAAGTAAACGTGTTTAGGAAACATATAAGTAATATTAATAGCTTAAGAGAGTTGCAATATCACTTACCCAATTGCCTGACTCCTAAAGAAAACTTCTTTGGCTACAATATTTCCACAAACTAGACCACTTCAGGAGAGGGTTCTTCTAATTCAGGATGCAAATGAGGAAATGAACCTGAGCAGCTTTGTAGAAAACCCCACTTTCAGATTTTCAAAAACAGGTGCTCCTCTTTGCTGACCCAATCAAGGTTGTGCCTGAGCAGCTTTGTAGAAAACCCCGCCTCCTTAAATCAAACCCTGCATTGGCTTCCTGCCTGTTCCTGTATCCAGCACAAAGTCTTCAGCCTTACCTTGGAGCCACTGAGTCCTCAGCCATGCTGCTGTTAGCTCCCCCACTTCCAATATCTTCACTGGTCTCTAGAGTCTTACCTTTGCTCCTTAGACTTCACCAGGTTCCTCAGTCCAGAGGTTTCTTCCGTCCTCAAGCAATCCCACCAGCCCTGTCTTGCCAATTTGGAATTATCTTGCAGAAGACCTTGATGGTGCCACCCCTTTCCCACCTGCCTAATCAAATAATTCCTCAGACTCATGTGACCTATGGAGCCTTTTGCTTAACTGCCCAATCTCCATCCTTCTGGTGTGATTAATTTTACCCATTGTTTTGTTTTGTTTTTTGTTTAATCAAAACTGTAACACCGAAAGCTGCCTTTAGAAGCCCTAAGCGCTGAAAAGATCATGGCGTCTCCCCACTCTCTATATGCAATTCAAAATAAAAACAATAAACAAAACAACTTATACAGCGTATTCTGTTTTTCTGCATATATAGATTAGAAAGGGGAAAGAAACAAAGTTTGTATAACTCATATGAATAAATCTTTAATAATAAAACATCAATTTATTACTAAGCTTGATAGGATCTGATTTCTTTCCATTATTTCCATCTATGTTGACAGGATGGTCCCTGGTACAGGTGGGATAAGTAATAAAAAGAGAACAGAAAAATCTAGTGCCATGTAAGTAGGTGTAATAAATCTTTCCCAATGACTACTTTGATGCTTTCCCCCCTTTGAAATATCATATGCCAAATTCTTTCAGAACTTTGGTTTTTTTGTGGGGTCAGGGAGCCCCTGCTTTGCTGGTACAATAAGCATATGGTTGGTCTGTCTGTTGGGTAACCCAGCACCACTTATTCCAGTCAGACCACTGGTCCATCTAGCTCAGTATTGCCTAAATTAGGTAGTTCTCTCCCTCCCCCTCTCCCCAGTCCATTACAGTCTCGTGATTTCACATCAGCCACTCACATAATTGCAGGCCCAGATGATCAGTCGTCAAAACATTTCATTTTATGGATAGGCTGGGGAAATAGGGTGTTTCGAAAGACGGACCTGCTATATGTGTTAGAATTAGAAAGGCTTACAGTGTAATCCTAAAGCATGTTTGCTCAGAGGAAGGGATGGGAGAATATGTCAGTTTTCTCAGTTCATTGCTTTCCCCGTCTTAAATTCAGCTGTCCACATTTCCACAAGTTTGCAAAAATAAAGCCCACCTCAAAACACACATCAGCAACTGAGTGCCAGTTTCTCCAAAACATACACATTTTAGCATGCAATTTTGCCTAGCACAACACATATTGGGGTGTTATTTCCACTAACTGTAAAGCACACTTTACCCCAGCATAAGTATTTTTGTGCACATTACAGTGGTACCTCAGTTTACGAACTTAATCCATTCTGGAAGTCCATTCTTAAAACAAAAGCGTTCTTAAACTGAGGCGCGCTTTCCCCGAGGCCTGCCGATGCCCTTCCGCCGTTCAGATTCTGTTCTTAGACCGAGGTAAAGTTCTCAAACCAAGACACTATTTCCGGTTTTGCAGAGTTTGTAAACCAAATCATTCTTAAACTGAGGTACCACTGTATTTGGATAGAGAACTGCACTGGAAAATTTGGAGAAGTGTGAATGTCAAATGATGGCTGCATTTCTGTTCACATCTTGTTCTGGGAAAAGTGTGAATGAAGCAACTTCACCTTTCAAAGCAAACTGAATTGAATTTCTCCCCCAACTCCCTACTCAGAAATTCCAGTGTTTTCAGTGGGGCTTACTACCAGGTAAATGAACCCAGAATTTCAGCTTTACTTAAAGGAGTCCCTGCAACCACCAGTAGCTTGGTGCTGACTGCATGTTGGTGGAGCCATTATCCAGGAGTGTGATGTTAAAAACAATTGACTCAACAGGTTGTTTTGGGCCTTTGATCCTCTGTCAAATATGGCCACCACAAATAGACAAGGAAAGGACCTCAATCCAGTCTAATCCTATGCACTGGATGGGTGCTTGTTGACTCAACGATGGGAGGATGACTGCCACTCCCTGGCTGTTCTGCCATGCCCCATACCCCAACTGTCCATTAGCTGGGGATAAAGTAATGCCACTGCTAACTGAGTCTGCTCAGAACTCAATCAGAGCATCTGGCTCCAGGTTTAGGAGGGCCTTTGGAAAAGGCACCCTCCATGATGACAAGATTCAGTAAGTCAGCTTTCTATGTTCCTATGCAATCAGAATTAAAAGTGAGGTTGTGTGCATTCTACCCAAATTTCGAGCCAGGGCAAACTCAAACAGATCGGTATCACACGTGGCTTTTAATTGTGTGTTTTTTGTCTCCAAAGGCAGGTGAATCAGCTGTCATGCAAACACACGCTATATAATAGTTTTAAAAAAACAGATCTACCTCTGAGTTTCAGTATGATAATTTATTTATTTCCAACACACACACACAAAAAACTAAGATAATGCTACATTATTGGCTCTGTATGTTGCATCTTCAAAAAAGGCACCTTGAGGCTTCAAAGTTTTATTTTTCTCCGACAGCAAAAGGAAACATGATTGATTTTTAAATTAGCAAAAGTCCCTAATGGCACAGTCCTAGGATTCCTGGGTGATTGCACCAGGGGCCATGCAATATTTCAGACCTCCACCTTGGAGAAAATTGATAGAAAGGAGGAGAGGGCTGTCAATGGCTATTAGCCATGATTGCTCCGCCTCCATTGACAGAGGCAGCAATGAATCTGGCTACCAGTTACTGGAAACCACAGGAGGGGAGAAGGCCCTAGTGGTCGGGTCCTGCTTGTGGGTTTTCCCCTTGAGGCATCTGGTTGGCAACTGTGAGAGCAGGACGCAGGACTAGATGGGCCACTGGCCTGATCCAGCAGGCTCTTCTTATGTTCTTCGAGAAGTTTTTTCTGTTTCTCATATACTAGAACCAGGGAACCATCCAATAATCCAGTATACCTACTGGATCACCTTATCCCATGTTCCCCATCGTCAACTTCAATCAGCAGAACTGGCACGATAGGTGCCACGTAATACCCATTCCGCATTTGCAAGAACTTTATCATTTAGCGTGGCAGCACCTATACTTTGGAACTCCCTGCCTCTTGATATCAAGCAGGCGCCTTCACTGTACTCTGTTTGGTGCCTGCTTAAAAAATAATTATTTATTTAGACACCCCTACCCAGATGCTTAGAAAGCAGAGGTGAATATTAGTATTTTGCTATTTTGACTTTATGTTTTAAACTATTGTTGTAATTTTTACTTGGTTTTTCAAAATATTTTTGTAAACCACTTTGAGGTTTTACAATCAAGCGGTGTATAAATTTTATGAAATACATACATGAACATTGGAAGATTCAGGGTAGACAAAAGAAAATGGGTTCTCCCCCTTCCAGAGAGCAACTAGTTAATCTGTGGAACTCACTTCCATGAGATGTAACAATGACCATCAAAAAAAAAAAAAAAAAGAATTAGATAAATCAATGGAGGGGTATCAATAGCTATTACTCATAGTGGCAGAGTAGCACCTTCAGCATCAATGTGAGATGTCCATCTCTATATATGTTGTTGTGGGTATAGGGTGGGGTGCGGTCACTCTGGATGATGCCCTGAGCCCCTTCCAGTTCTTAGGATCCTGTATCTGTGTGGGTTGAAGGTATAAGGGAGCAAGCTTGCCGAACCCCTATATTAAGGTAATGGCCTTGGCTAGCTAGTTACCAAAGAAGCATTACCAAAGAAGGTGCTCTGTGCCATAGAACAAATGGGAGGGTTGCCAGTTTTTCCCCCATGTGTGGGTGTGTCCATGGATTCGGACTTCTGGGGATGTCTCTGATGCACCCAGCTTACACGGCAAAGTGTTTCATTGTGCAGTGTGAATGGCCTATCCCATAATAACAGCGAGCTTCATTCATGCCAACAGAATTCTGTTGTGAGCTCCATTTAACCAGAGACATCTAAACCAGGATGATCCCTTTGTCAGCATTATTCAGTTAGGACGCCAGATAGATAAGCACTACACCGCCACACACACACACACACACACACACACACACACAACCAGCTACCGCAGGACTGCCGCAGGCACTTGCCAGTCCTAGTAGCCACAAGTGGTCAACTTCCAGTGAACATAATTCTCTATGTGCGTATACATGTGCTCTCGCGAGTCGACACGAGGCCTGAAACTGAGGTATCCACAGCAGCCGGAGCGATGATAACGATATAGAAAGGCAGAGGCTCATCAAACCACTAGAAACACTATTCTGAGATTGGTTTGAAGAACAGAAGTTAAGAGTGTCACAATCTCCAGTTGCAATGGGAAAATCATTGATCCAAACAGATTTAAGATATTCTCCATGTTACCAAAAGGGGGGGGGGGGAGAAGTCTACTTAAGCACGCTCAATTTCACATCAGACCCTAGTTTTCATACTTGATTTCGGCTCTAAGCTCGTTGGTGATGTAGCTCGTCAGCATGCAAAGCAGCTGGTCTTGGATGGCTCTGTTGCCCATGACCAGGGCTATGAGCTGCGCTGTATCGGTCCAGTCTAAATTCCCAATGATGGCGTAGGCGTTGTCATACAGCCGCTGCTGCTCCGTGGGAGGCAGTTCCAGGATGATCTGAGGGATGGGCTGAAACTGCCCAGAGGTCATCCAGGCACCAAACAAGCCCCCAACAGCGCCCCCTAGGAAAGCAGCACAGAAATGTATTTTAAGCCACACGTCACTCACCAATGCCAAACACCCCCATGTGGCAAATCATGTGCAGATGCACAGAATCCAGGGCGCAAACCTCCTGATGGGGATGAAGACCAGAATTTGGCTTTAGCGTATTTTGTTTCACATATTGGTTGCTGTTACATTTTGATGGCATATTATTAAGGCTGCAACTCTAACCTTGGAGTCAGCCCCATTGACCTTGACAGGCCTTATTTTTGAGTAGACATGGTTAGGCTTGTGCTATGAATTTATTGTTGCCACCCCATCTTGCAGGGCTGGTTTTTTGTTTCCTGTTTTTGAGCAAAATCAGGATATTAACATTCTAATTCGCTTGTTCCCCAAATTGGGAAGTACTATTCCCTCCCCTGGGAATTGTTAAGAGGCAAGTGCAGGGCAGCGCTGGAAGAGTAAAAGACTATCAGACTTTTGAAAAGCTGGTATCACTGGACCAAGGGCATGAACTTTGTTCAAAACAAATAGTTTGGATTTGGAATAAATGTGCAATTCGTTGTTGCCATTTTAAATTTTATAGTGCCATGCAAACCACTATGGAGCCAAGTTGGGTTGCGGGGTCCGAAAAAGTTTGGGAATCGCTAGCTCTAAAGCAAAAAGGCAAGGTAGTTTCTACAGACCCTCTGCAAAAAGAGAGCCTCACTTACCGACGGCTATGCCAGGAGGGCCACCCACCAAGCCTCCCAAGAAAGCAGTTGCCCCAGCCACGATTGCTCCTCGCCCCGAATGCTTGAAGGCCGCCCTCATTTTCCGCTCGTCAGACACATGGCATAGGAGCTGCATGACATCGTTCATGCTGACCGGCATCTTGCGTAGCTCACACCTTGAAAGCAGATGGAAAGGTAAAGGTACCCATGACCGTTAGGCCCAGTCGCAGACGACTCTGGAGTTGCACGCTCATCTCGCTTTACTGGCCGAGGGAGCCGGCGTTTGTCCGCAGACAGTTTTTCCGGGTCATGTGGCCAGCATGACTAAGCCACTTCTGGCGAACCAGAGCAGCGCACGGAAACGCCATTTACTTCCCGCCGGAGTGGTACATATTTATCTACTTGCACTGGTGTGCTTTCGAACTGCTAGGTGGGCAAGAGCTGGGACTGACCATTGTGGGGATTTGAACCACCGACCTTCTGATCGGCAAGCCCTAGGCTCTGTGGTTTAGACCACAGCGCCACCCGTGCCCATTATGGAAAGCTACAACACCTTAATAGAAATGCGAGAGAACCTAACTTAGGCTCAAGGGCCACATTCCACCATGAGCAACTTTCTTCTGGGTGGGGGTGCACCCCAATGGTGGGCGGGGTGTAGCGGATGTGACTCAGACAGCAGGCAACTGTGAAAAAGTATACACATGCTTCCATCCAAGCAAGCAAAGAGGCGCTGTCGAAGTTCAAAGGCACATTCCAACCAGGCAAAAAGGCCCTGAGATGGACCACTGAGAGAACCCTGAGGACCAGCCAGAGAGGTCTGGAGGGGCAGAATTGGTCCCTGGGCCTGAGGCTCCCAACCCCTAACCTAAGAGCTCTTTTATACCCCATGTAGCTGCTGCCCATCTTTATTTACAAAAATATTTGTATAGCTCTTTATCATTAAAAAATATCAAAGCAGTTTACAGCACCAGATATCAATTAATCAGTGTGAAAGGATGTTTTCTTAATTGCTTCATTGCCACGCTTGCTGGGGCTGAGGGGAACTATAGTTCTGCAATATCTGGAGGGCCAAAGGTTTCCTATACTCAATGTAGGAGGTCGCAAGTTCAATCCACCACACCTCTAATTAAAGGCAATCTTGGGTAACAAGATTATTATTATTTTGCCTTTTCCCCAGACAGGGACCCAAGGCACATTACAGAGAAAAATGCCCATACACAGATAAAATAGAAAAGATAATCATTAATAGTAATTAAACATCAAGACAATCAAAATACTATCAAAACAAAGATCTATTAAAAATACAGGTAACAATAAAAACATAACAGCACCAGACCTTTCTAAAAAACAGTCAGTTCCTAAAGGCCTGTTGCAATAAATCCACCTTCACCTGCCAGTGAAAGGGCAACAAGGAGGGAAGCGGTCTAACATCTTTAGGAAGGGAGTTCCAAAGTCTGGGAGCAGCCACCAAGAAGGCCCTCTCCCATGTCCTCTCTCATCCCTGCTGAAGACCTCAGAGAGAGATTCGCTGTCGGAAGAGGAACAGTCTGCACAAAACACTTGGCCATGGTTGAGTTGTCCCACAGATGTTCAGACAAACCATGGCTAGTGTCTCCCAAATTTGCCTTGCTTCCCAGCTGCTCTTGTCTTATGCCTTTGTGGTTTTGGGTGGCGTTTGGTGGTCAAATTAAGGAAAGCTCCTAGGTTTACGTGCATTACCGAACCACAGTTAAAACAAACCAAGGTTCCTAAGTCAACAACAAACCATGGCTCCAGATCACCATTTATTAGAAGTAAAGAAACCATCATTAAGCCACTGGGCAGGATTCACATATAGCATCACGCCATGATTTAGTGTTGTGGGGAAACCAGGCCGGTGTATACAGCACTGGAGTAGGTAAACCAATGGTCTGTGAGACCAAGCAGATTTACTTGCAAGCACGTCAATGGGCTTTACTTCCTGGGGGGGAAAGGCTTCATTGTCATCTTAAATTTCCAGCTCTCATGACTGCAGAAGTGGTGGTGGTAGGGGAATTAAAAATTCTCAGAATAAGTTTTTTTGTGGTTGCAAAATAGGAGTTCTGATCTGTTCCTGGTTTTGCAGACAGAGCAAACCTTCCATGGTTTCATCATTCTCATTGCAATCCAGAAACTCCCAGCTTTGCAAAAAAAACAAAAAACAAAACACCTTAGAATTCGTGGGATTGATGCCCTTACACAAAAAGATTGCTTCACGGGCATGATCACAGAAGTGATCTCACTCCCAAACCACAGGAGACTATTGCGATTCGAACACCTGCTCTGAAACCCAGCCACACCTGAGGTCCTTCATAGCGGATTCAGATTCCTTTGATTTTTGCAGGGATTAAGAACCCACCAGTTGCCTGCATATTGGGGGGTTTCCCCTCTCGTTTGATAGAAACCTCTCTGGCTTCCTTCTTATTCGCCCCGCCAGAGATTTTGCATTAGCCACGCTGCCTGTCAAAACAACCATGACCGGGGCTTCTGTCGTTCAGCCCCCGCCCCCCCCTTCCAAGTATCAGGCAAAAGTTCCTCCCTGCATTTCAGTCCACAGCCTCCAGCAGCGGACAGACAAGTGGCCACGCATTGCTAGCTACGGTCTTTCTGTTGTCATCAGCGGGGCCAAAGCAAGAGAAATCCGTAGTGTTTAGCCGTGATTTTCAGAGCAGCAGAGCTGATCGTTCAGAATCGCTGCGCGCTTCCTGCAAAGGAGGGTCCCAGTCCACGCCAGCTGCTAGTCCGCAAGCCTAAACTCTCACTTACCTGAGAGGAAGCCCTTTTAACCAGCCTGGAAAGGCTTGCCCTGGAAACCCGTTAGTCCTTGCGAATGTGCTTCTTTAATTTTTGGACTACAATTCCCAGCACGCAAAGCCGTGAGCAAGGGGTGATGGGAGATGTAGTCGGCGCCTTTGCAAAGCGGCCTCGGAGGGGATGGGGAGCCCCTTCCGTCCAGCCCCGGCAGGCAAACAGGGCGCTTTCCTCGAGTCTCTCCCCAACCCCCTTTGCAAACTCCTACTCTCCGCCCCGGGGCCATGCAATTCGCCCCCGGATCCGGAAGCCTTCCTCCCTCGGCCCGGGTCTGCGCGCACAACTCCGTCTCGGCCCAGCCGGGTCTCCGAGGTCGCTCCCGCCCAGCCGCGGGTCCCGTGGGGGATCACAGAGGGCGGATCTGGGCCTCGCTTTGCGTCCCGACGCACATCCACGGTTGCAACTGCACCGAGCTTGCTCAAGTTTCCGAAATGTCGGCGGGTCTGGGGCACCGAAGCCCCAGCTGCAAACTATAGGGCTAGCGTGTCTTTCTCCTGCGCCGCTGTCAGGGCTCCTGTGCTTGCAACAGCTGCTTTTTAACAGGCAGGCGTTCTGCAGGTGAAGAGCTTTGCGGCTGCGCCTCCTGAGTCCCGGTGTGCCAGAGGCGCCGGAAGAAGCGGAAAGCTTTTGCGGAGAAGGATTAAATCTGTCCGCTTTCCACGCGCGCCTCCTTCCTCGTTTTGCCTTGGAAATGCTTAGGGTGGACGTCTCCCCTCCCCTTTGGAAAATAATAATACTTTATTATAGATAGGCAATACATAATTATTCAATAAATATATTAGCTTTAAATATGTTAAGTATATTAACACACACATATGATAAGTGTTGTTGTTTTTAATGTCTTGCCCACCCTTTATCAGCAAACCCAGGGGAAGTTTACGACAATTTAAATTCCAGTATGAATAAACGTGTTTCCATTTGTTTTCTTCCTTTAAAGCTGTCTCTCCTGCCTTCCCAAGCAACTCGAATTTCATGCTAAACTCTTTCTGCTTATGCTTATATATACTGTAGTATCTAGCAACCTTCCACATACATGATCTTATTGATCCGTAAAACGGCCCTGCAAGGTACGCACATATTAGCATTATTATATCACAAGGATCAGGAGCTGCTGAGAGACAAGATTTAGGGTGCTTGGAGGTCTGTGGTCCTGGGTGTCGGATGACTCCAGGGGGTCATACACTCGGTGGGTTGGGGCCAGCAAAGTAGAGTTTTTTAGCTGCCTCAATTGCAACTTTTAGCTGGCTCAATTGCAACATCAGTATTGTCCGCTGCCCTGAGGGCATTTATCTTGCGGATTTCCTCAATGGTCAGTATTGTAATCCTAGGGCTCTTTAAGCCTTCCCTTCTGTTTCTTTCTGTCAGTTCACATTCTTGCATTGTGCTGCTTCTAGCCAGCTCTGCTTTTAAAAGGTTCTACATACTGGAACACTCTTTCAGACTGTCTGCTTGTCCACTTCACCTGATTCTGAATTCTTCATTCTGCATACCATCTTCCTCTTCTCTTTTCTCCTGTCTTTTCTTCTTCAGTCTCTTTGCTTTGGGGGTTGGGTAGAGGGAACCTCATTTAGCCCTGGTGCAGTTGCTGCATAGGGTGGAGGGGGGCTAAGTATTCCCCCCTCCTTTTCCTGGGTCTGGCAAGACTGCTGGTTTTTTTCTCTAACTTGTACTTGCTGCCATACTGGGCACAGTTTGGCATGGCACGGGTAATCACAGTTCTACTTTTCCTAAGCCATGGGGGACGATCAGGAACTTCACATAAGTGTTGAAGTCTATTTTTTTCTTCAGGTTTTGGATACTGGGATACTGGGACACTCCCTCCTCCTAACGTCATTTCCTCACTCAGTCACAGACCACACGTTGCTTCCAACGTCTCACACACTCAAAACATTCACTGGAGTGTCCCCACACGCACATTCCGAAAAACCCATGCACATCCCCCAATCCCCTTTTTTACCAAAACCAAACAACCAACCAGCAGCGCTTCACGACTTCGACCGGGGCCCAAGAGCACCTTTTTTTTAAAAAAACTGCTTCTTCTGGGCACAAAACCAACAACCAGCCACAACCGGCAGTGCTTAGACTTCGACCAGGGCCCAGCAGCACCCTTTCTGCTGCTTTTTTGGGCAAAACCAAAACCAGTGGCACCTTTTACTGCCCTACTGGTGGAGCTGATCAAACTCTCTTTGCTCCCACCTATCCCTGTGGAGCTTACCTTTATCCTCGAGGTACCTTCTTTCTGCACGGCCGTTGCTTTTTCTCCGGTCCTTGCAGTGTGTCCACTCAGGAACGGGTGGCAATTCCTCACACGAACTTGGCAGGATGTGCACT